ATTCGATGGCATGTATATATATTTGAAAAAGAGAAAGGAAGAGAGGGAGAGAGAGGGAAACACTCATTTGTTGTTCCACTTATTTATGCATCCATTGGCTGCTTCTTGTATGTGTCCTGACTGGAGATCGAACCCACAACCTTGGTGTATCAGGATGATGCTCTAACCAACTGAGTACCCAGCCAGGGCCATCTTTCTTACTAGTTGATAATTTTCATCAGAGTAGGAGCATGTCTGATTATTATTTGTGTTTAACCTACTGCACCTCACCTAAACCCTTGCACAATGTAAAGCACATCTTAGAAGTTCAGTAAATTCTCCTTGAATAAAAGAATGAACAAATGAATGTATGTGAAAGAATGATATGCATTTGATTAAGTTGTGTCTCTAGTTTTTTATTTGGCTTTTATTTACTCAGGTGGTATTAAAAAAAAAAAAAAACAACCCCAGTCAGCTATATGTAGCCATTCAGGATTAATCTGTTTAAAAATAGATACAGTGACTCATTTTTATTTTTTAAAGAAACTTTCCATTTCCAATAGCCCTATTTCCAGAATCACTTCATAATGCACAAGCTTTTGGCTTTCAAATGGTTTCATTTGAGTTTCATACCAGGAATAGCTTATATGAATCCATAAACATGAATGAGGTTCTTCTTGTGGGATTTTCTTATTTTAGTCCAATGCTTACCTCAAATAGAACCCATTTGGCTGAATTTTGCTGCCATAAACCCATTTAAGCTCAAAGTTTTCATTGTAAATAGCAGGATTAAAAGCAAACATACCCCAGTCATCATTGATTCATATCTCAGGCACAGACAATAAGATAAATATATCTATTAAAATATATTAGGATAAAAATGTTTAAAACCAATAATCCATTTTTATCATCCTGCAAGGTGAGTCTAAATTTTTAATAAATAACATGTATAATCCTTACCTTAATGAACTACTTTTAATGAATGAAAGAATAAAAATGCTGAAATTTTAAAATGAGTGGAAAGAGCAGACAACACATTTATTGAAGAATTATTCTAAGATTTAACTTGCGAAATTTTTTTTTTTACCACATACCTGATATTTTCCATTGAGTTAGTAAAAGGTTTTAGTCAGTTTAGATAGTGACTATTGCCTTCAATCAGCAAGTGTTTTCACTTTTTACAGAAGATTCTGGTATTATGTATAACATTTAAGTCAGCCAAGACCACGGGGATGCAATTAGCAAAATCTGATAATGTGGGAAATTCTACAAGATAAATGACCCAGTTCTCTCAACAAACAAATTGTATTCCTTGCTTGGATTTAAAAGAAGTACTTCGGCTGCTCTGGTGAGAATAAACTGTTTAGAGATAAAGATGGAACCAGAGACCAGTTAGGAGGTATCGCATTAATCTATGGACCAGGGCTTGAATATAGACAAGGTGAGAAGTGGTCAGATATGAATGTATGTTTAAGTCAAGAAATTTGCTGATAGATTATACACAAGGTGCGAGAGAAAGAAATAGAGGCAAGGACAATCCAAGGGTTTGCCTGGATCCACCCTGGAAGGATGGCGCGGCCATGAACTTCAGTGCGATAGCCGCAGGACATGCAAGTTTCAGAGAGAAACCAGGAATTCAGCTGGGGGCGAGGTAAGTCTGAGATAACTGTTAGACACCCAAGTGGTAGTCAGCTGGGAGTATCAGCCAGGAATTCATGAGTGAGTTCCGGGCAAGAGGTATAAATTTGGGGGTCTTCAGAGTACATGAATGTTTTTAAACCATTAGAATAAGTTAGATTACCAAGGGAATGACATAGATAGGGATCTGCTGCTTCATTTGGCTAAATTTTGCTTTCATAAACTCATTTAAAATAGCACTCATGTATTTTCATAGATCTGTGGTTGGATGAGGATTTGCTAATCTGTGCTGGGCTGGGCTTGACTGGGGATATTTGGTTTTGCTCCAGGTGTCTCTAACCCTTATCCTAGAACCTGAGGACTAGCCCAGGCATGTTCCCATCCCCCACCATCCCCTTCCCCCCTCCCCCACAGTTTCACAGGCACAAGAAAGAAAGCAGAAGAGTGTACAGTTTCTGAGGTCTAGGCTCAAAGCTGACACCGCATCACTTCCTCGTTATTCTATTGACAAATCAAGTTATATAACTAAATCCAAAGTCAAGGATCAGTAAAATAATAAGACAAAGGCATTGATACAGAGACAGGTAAAAATTCGAGTTCAATATGCAGTTGAATGAAAACATTGATTCCATATTACTAGTTACAAAGAAAGTCTGTGGCAAGATGCTCCTAGATTCCCACGTGTGCCATCTAACAGAAGAGTAAAAAGCGAAACAAAACTTGAAGAAGTAAATGATAAGGAGACCTCTGGGTTTGAAATTGAAGTTTCATCCTCAAAAGCAGCGTCTGACAGGATATCTAACATGAACACATGAAAATGTATCAGAAGCTCAGCACCATGCAGCAAGTTGTAATTTTAAACAGGCTATATTGCCAGTCATTTTTATACAAGTTGCTAAAATGCAGAATCTGTAATTTACCCTCTTCTTTGTTTAGGGGGTGATTTTTTAAAAAACTGAGAAAATTATTTCTAAAATATATTTTAAAATTCTGGGCTTTTGAATATCTTTGGAAGTAAGAACATCAGAAGAATCATTCTTTTAAAGGATATAATCTGCTGTTATCAGCTTAGGCTGCAAGCCTGGGTTTTTGAAAAATAATGAATTAGATAACATGGTACTAGTACTTATATACTTACACCATCTTATATTTTAAGCTGCATTTTCTAGATCTAGAGATTCTGGGGACCGAAGGAGCCTTAAGATCATAATTACCTAATTTCATAGATGACGTAACAGAGGCCCAGAGAGGTTAACCTGTTTCTTTTGAGAGTAAAAGAATTGGATCATGTAATTTGTAACCCAGTGGCAGGTGACACAAAGCGGGTAACTGTGGGAGTCTTTAGTCCCAGCTCCACTCCATCCATCTCTATAATCTCCAGACATCCCCCTTCACCCCTCTCTTCCGTAAATTTACAATCTGGTAAAAACTGATTCAATGTTCAACCAGAGCTTCCAAACAAGGCCCCATAGGCTGTCTCCCTATGTCAGCCCAGTGAAGAAATCCTTGAGTGCTCACTGTCCACTTACATGAGCAACCTTCCTTCTCCATCACCATCACCAGTGTCTAGAGTTGTATGGGCCTTGAAAAACTGGAGGATTTGTGGATAGCCTGTTATCTTGTTCACTCACGTTACTTATCTTACTAAGTCTGTCCCAACCTAACTTGCACTTAGGGACTATTTTGCAGATAGTATTTATGTACATCCGTGGGAAACAATACATCTCTTCTTCCCTATAGGCATTAACTAGTTGACCTGTTTAAGCTTACTTTTTCCTTGGTAGTTTAATTATTCTCTCTCTCTCTCTCTCTCTCTCTACTAGTTGCTTTGTGTACTGTACTTGCCCTCAAACAATATCTAAAATTTAATTTGATCAGACTCAACCTCTTACTGCTGCTGTCAAAGATGAAGTGGGACGGCAAGTAGAAAGGCAAAGACAGTATGTTAGTAATGCGCTATTGCAATATGGAAGAGGGTCAAGTGTGAACTAAACTCAACTTCAATTTGTGCACAGGTGACTGGGCGTTTTAAAGGGAGAATGAGGGAGGAGAAACGGAGGAGAGCTCAGTAGAGGTAAGAAAGTGAAAAATACGAAGTGTGGTCATTGTAAATGTTGATTAGGCCAGTGCCATCTGTTAGCTGGCAATTATCAGTTAGAATCCTGCCCTACCACAGAGACTGAGAGACAGAGGCTCTATCGTTCCTGATGATTACTGTATTTTGCCACGTAAAATGTGTACTTCTTGCCCAAATTTTTGAGGGAAAAATAAGGATATGCATTATACATGAGCAATGCCTGAAATACCTTATATCTATTCTTGTGTTTTCTAATTACTTGTTACATAAAGTTTCTTGTATCATAATATGTTCAAAAATAAATGCTAAAATTCCTTTATAATATAGAAAACAAGTATCTAAATATAAATGAATAAGAACTGAATTAAAAAATTAAAACAGAAGATTTTTTTCCTGAAAATTTAGGCCAAAAACATGGGTGCACATCATACACCCATGGGGCGGCAAGATTCGGGGGTACATTGTACTAGTTATGGCCTTCAGGTCCTTAAGGAAGACACTCAGGAATAGTGGGAGATTTATGTACATCTCTAAAGGACAAAGGAAGAACTCACAATTTCAAGCCCTTTAGAGAAGTGCTCTAACACACGGTGGGTCAAGGGCCTATTTGCAGCTGTTGGTTAGAACCAAGTAAGTTCTTTGGCACCCTTAACGTCCCTCAAGCAGGCATATGGCCTTGAGCTGTTAGAAACTGTTAACTTCTTTAAAAATGTTTTTAATGTGGGGATAAGAGTGAATGAAATCCTGAGTTGAGAATCTGTAGTTTGTATACGCCACGGCTGAGAACTAATAGAGGGCTCAGAGGAGTCTGGGTAGAGTTTGATCAAGCAGGGAATGATTCTCACTGAGTAATTTTAAGACGTTATTTTATTTTAATTAAAAAAAATTTTGCCAAAGCCTGTCCAGTAGAAATATAATTGAAGCCTCACACGTCATTATCAATGTTCTCACAGCCACATTTAAAAGATTGAAATAAACAAAATTCATGTTAATTGTTAACCTAATATATACAAAATATCATTTCCACGTGTAATCAATATTTTAAATCTTGGGGGAGATTTTTACATTCTTGTTTTCGTCATAAGTCTTTGAAATCCACTGTGTATCTTACACTTGCTGCACCCCAATTCGGACCAGCCATATTTCAAGCGCTGAACAGTCATAGGTGGCTCTGGCATTGGACAGCACAGGTCTAGACAGCAGAGCAGACGGGCCCTGCAGAAGTGAGCGTGGGGCGGGGCTTAGCCAGCTGGGGGCGGAGCTTCTCGGAGAACGCGTTTTAGTCCTCACCGGCTGCCGTAGGAAGGAGCCGGCCTAGGTGGTGCCACGTTCCCTGCGGCTGCTGCAGACAAATCAGTTGGGCCTCGGGTTGGCTCCCGGTGACCATGGCCTTTACCCTGTACTCGCTGCTGCAGGCTGCCCTGCTCTGCGTCAATGCGATCGCTGTGCTGCATGAGGAGCGTTTCCTCAAGAACAGTGAGTGAGGCCGCGGGACCGGGCTGAGGTGGCCGCGGCAGAGTCCGGGGGGTGCGGACCCAAGTCGGGCCTCGTGAGCGGAGAAGCTGAGCCGGACAGACGAGCGGCCGAGGGCCCGGCTCTCGGGGCCCTTCCTTGCGGGGCAAAGCCGAGCCACTTTCGTCTCACCAGATTTGAACTTAGCAGCGGGGTAAAGATCGCCAAACAGACTCCCACTGTGAGCCGGGCCCGTGGGGGTGGAAGTGAGGGGGATACTGAGTTGCGTCAGGGACGCCCCTGCCGGAGAATACTTTCGTTTAGTAATTTAATGCAGTTCTCTGTGATCGCTTTTAATGGCCAAAAACCTGGGGTCTGCATGTTCAGCTAAAGAGGGAGGGGCGTGGCTCATTTGTAGACTAGATGATTGAATGAACTGAGGACCTTGGGGCTCCCGGGGCTTTGGGAAGAGAAAAGGGAAAATGTTGGGGCTATCACGACATCCAGGCACCCGCATTCCAAGAAAGTCTATTTAGCACATAGATTTTGGTGCCCATGATATGCCAGGAACTGTACTAGAGCCACACAAAGATGAAGACACAAGTTATGCCAATTGGGACCTCACAATGCAGCAGCCTCCATGCCATCCTGGGCCGGCTGCTTCTTGCTGTAAGAGGCAAAAGTGAGGCAGGATACTGCGTTGTGTCTATCATTTGCCACATGGTACCTATTATGTCTCTATGAATCACTGAAACTCAAACCCAATAACAATATTACTGTGGAAGAGATTTATTGAGCATAAAGTATGTGCCAGGCCCGGGTAATAAGAGCTGAGGTTACAGCAGTCACCCTGCCCTTCTCATGGAAGTTAAAATGTAAAAACAAAACTGAACAAGTAGCAATAACAAAGATGCAGAATATTATGAAGAAGTGCAGTGAAATTTCAACCTGTGAATCAGAAAGCTTCTTGGAGGAAGTGTGTCTAACTCCAAATCTGATAAATAAGTAAACCCTGCCCAGGTGAAGGTGAGGGGTTGGGGGAAGTTGAGAAGGTGTGGAAACTCTAGGGCAGGGGAAGACAAGGTTGTAAGCAGGGCAGTGATATGACCAGAAGTGTGTTATTTGCAAGATCCCCTGGCTACAGTGTGGAGAACAGATTGGGAGAGCAGAGGAGTGGACGGCGGGGAGCACCCTGCCAAATGGGGCCAGTAGAGATGGCGGCGCACTAGCAGTTCAATGGGCGTAAGAAGGCTAATACCAACTAATACTTAACAACACTGTGTGCCAGGGTCTCTATTAAGTGCTTTACATATATTAACTTGTGTAACCCTGACAGCAACCTTGTGAGATCGTTTTCATCCCCACTTTACAGATGGAGAACCTGAAGCAGAAAAGAGAGTAGGTAACTTTTCTAAGATCACACAGCCAGAAAGTGGCAGACCTAGGACTGAAACTTAGTAGCCTGGCTCAAGAGTCCATCTCTTCACCACTAGCCGTACAGAAAGGTAGAAGGGATCATGTTGTGGGTTGAATTGTGCACCCCCCACCCTCCCCCAAGATATATTGACATCCTAACCCTTGGTATCTGTGAATGTGACCTTTGAAAATAGAGTCTCTGCAGGTATAATCAAGTTAAGAAGAAGTCACTCTGGAATAGGATGGGCCATACCCAACCAGATGTACATATAAGGAGAGATACAGATTTACAAAGACAAACAGTGGGAAGGAGGCGGAGACTGGAATGATGCAGCTACAAGCCAAACAATGCCAAGATTACCATTAACTTTGGGAAGCTAGAAGCCTGGCCTGGATGAGATTATCCCTTAGACCCTCAGCAGGAACCATTTCTACCAACACCTTGGTTTTGGATTTCTGGGCTCCAGAACTGTGAGAAAATAAATTGTTGTTGTGTTGAGCCACCCAGTGTGTGGTGTCTGTTAGGGTAGTCCTAGGGAACTGTTAAAAATCAGGAGATTCTGCCTCAAAGGGCAGAAAAGGCAGATTTACTGTTTGGACACTAGGAATGAGGAAGAAAGGAAAAAGGCAAAGATCTGTTTTCTGGCTTAAGCAACTGAATGAAGGGTAGCACCTTTACTGAGTTGAGAGTGCCGGTAAGAAGGTGAAGAGCATGAAGCACGTTTTGGACATGCTGAGTTTGAGATTATGTCTGCGAGATATGCAAGTGGAGATGTGGAGTAGGCAGTTGGACTTAAAACCATAAAACAGAGCAAGAGCCAGAGTGGAGGTTGAACTTTGAGTTTGTCGACCACAGATGATAAATGAAGCCATATGAAAAGATGAAATTGCTCCGGGAAAGAAGAGTACAGAGGGAATTAGTGACCAATACAGTCCTTGAATCTCTTCCAATACCTAATGTATAGGTAGAGATAGAGGAGCTGACAGGAGAAACGAGTGAGTAAAACGGAGAAATGGGAAAGTGTAAGCAGTGGGGTTTCACAAGAAGGCAAGGAATGTGGGAAGACGAGACAGTACTGCAGTGGAATGTTCTGAGAAGCCAAGTGAGGTCAGGACTGAAAAGTGTCCTATGGATTCAGGGTAGTCAGGTCATTGGTGATTTTACAGAAACAATTACAGCAGTAGGTAAAATCCACATTTTAATGGGCTGAGAAGGAAGTGGAAAGTGACAAAATGGAGAAAGCAGGGTTGTCTGACATAATCAGTAAGTTGCAGGAAGTGAAGACAAGGCAGCTGTCGGGGCGCCAGGGCACATGTCGTGGAGGTTGCTTTGTTTTAGACAGGAGAGGCAGGAGCGCACCGCAGTGGTGCCAGTGAGGACCAAGCCGCTCTCTCCAACAAAACGCTCAAGCATAAGAAAGAGGAACGCACATAGAACAATTCTTAAATCTGAGCGATACGTATGTTTTAAAACTCTCACGATTAAAAGTTAAAAAAGGAATTGCTAATGGAAAGAATCTAGTAGTGAGAGTGAAATAAAAGATAGGAGAGAAATGAGGTAAATTGGTAGCCTAAGGATTCTGAGAGGGGGGAAGGGATGGGTTCTAAGGCATAGCTGGAGGAGATGGCATTAAGTAGGAGGTGGGAAACACTCATTTGAAAGAACATAAGCGCCCCTATGTTCATTGCAGCATGATTTACAATCACCAAGATCCGGAAAGAGTCCAAGTGCCCATCAGTAGATGAGAGGGGGAAAAAGGGTGTGCTACGTTTACGCAATGGAATACTACTACCTGGCCATAAAAAAATAGGTGGGGCGGGGAGGGTGGATCTTAAAAGCAACATCATGGATGGACCTAGAGATTATTATGCTAAGTGAAATGAGCCAGTCAGAGAAAGACAAGTACCATATGATTTCACTCATATGTGGAATCCAATGAACAAAATAAACTGATGAACAAGATAGGAACAGAAGCATGGATACAAGGAACAGACAGCTGTCAGAAGGGAGGGGGTCGGGGGACTAGATAAAAGAAGATGAATGGATTAATCAAAAAACATATAGATAACACATACACACAAACAATAGTGTGGTGATAGCCAGAGGGAAAGAGGGGTGCGAGGTAGGTGGAGGGAATGGGGATGGAAAGAGACTTTACTTGGGGCAATGGGCACACAATTGCAGTGTGCAGATGACGTTACTGAGTTGGACACTTGCAGCCTGTATGGTTTTGTGAATCATTTATTGTGAGTCACCCCAATAAATCCAATAAAATGAAATGAAATAAAGAAAGGGGAGGAATGATTAGCTTGAGAAGCTGGTAATTTCTAGATTCGTTGGCAGGAAGTTTTTCTTAGTTCCTTATAACAAATGGGCAGTCACTACATGCTAGGTTGAAAAGATGTAGCAATGTCTGCACCTCATATATCTTACAGGAGAACAGGTATTTTAAAATAATTGTACGAATAATTCATTGAGCCTGGGATAAAGACTTTGAAAGTGAATTGTATCTCAATAAAGCTGTTTTTTAAAAACCATACTTTTTTAAAAAAAGATTTTATTTATTTATTTTTAGAAAGAGGGAAGGGAGGGAAAAGGGGAACGATCAGTGGGTGGTTGACTATCACACGCAGCCTTCTGAGGACCTGGCCTGCAACTCCGGCATGTGCCCTGACTGGGAATCAAACCAGCGACCCTTTGGTTCTCAGACTGGTATTCAGTCCACTAAGCCAAAAACCACATATTTTTAAAAAATCAGAAAAGCATTATATCTAGTACTAATGATGACTGATGCAAAGGAAACATGAAACTGTATTAGTCATCTGGGGCTGCCAAAACAAAAAATCATTAAGCAAAGTGAAATCTCTTTTCTGATACTTGTATAAAATAAAGACTTGTTCTCTGTCTTCAAGTTTAAGGGTTAACATGTCAGGAATTAATTAAGTCATTTGAGATTTAAAAAATGTAATCATTTGAGATATGACAGGTGAACCTGAAATGAGGACAAGAGAAGGACACATTGTAGAAATGAGGACATGTAAATCTTTAGAAGAATGTGTCAGGCAATAAAAAAAGAACTAGCAGGTACAGGTAAAGAAATAATGATTTATAATAATCAGGACAAATGATGTAGAGGAAGGTAAAAGACTCATTTACAGAAAATAAGTGGGATAGTGGGCCAAATTCCTCACCTTAGAAACTGAGAAATGAAGAATGCTCAAGGAAAAAAAAGAAAAAGAAGATGTGCCCACTGGTATGGTAGAGCAGGCTGTGAAGGCCTAACCAAGCTGTGACCACGGGTTGGTTACAAAGTCCCCCGTGTGATGCAGACGGTGAATCTCAGTTACAATGTCTTTAGACTGATAATTACGTTAGGTTTTATAAATTCTGGATGGAGCTAATTAATCATTATTCAACTTGACACTGCTTTTTCAGTTCTTACTTGAAAAATATTTGTTAGTTTAAGAAAGGAGTAAAAAACCAATCAAGGTATTACAGTGGTCATCTTTATTGGATTAAATGCCATGGAAGAATTTATTAGACTGTGGTTTATTTAATAAAACGAAAGTGGAAATGAAATGAGTTTTTGTTGCTTATCAAAAGTAAAAAATATACTGTAAAGTATTTCACTTGGTAGTGTTTTTACTTTTAAGTCATATGACTTTATATTTTATATCTTTAACAAAGGCTCAAGATAATCTTTTAGAAAATGACTAATGAGGGAGCAAGGCAAGTGCATAATAAATTTTAACGCAGCTAATCATTTTTATATTATGCAGTTGGCTGGGGAACAGACCAGGGAATTGGCGGATTCGGAGAGGAGCCAGGAATTAAATCTCAGCTAATGAACCTTATTCGATCTGTAAGAACCGTAATGAGAGGTAAGAAGAAAAACTCATGTAGCACTCTGTAAGTTTTAATTTCATGGTTTAATTTAAGTAGCAAATCTTTTGAGTGTGAATACTATCACATACTGTCTTTGTAGTAGGAAATTTTTTTCTCTTTAACCTGGCTTTATTGGTTTCTTTCTTAGTTTGCTTCTTCTAAGCCAGTTGATGCAAATGGAATGCTCAGTGGTAATCTGTATGTTACCTCTCAAAGTCAAAAGACAATGATATTCTTGCCTGCTGGAACTCTGTTGCTTCCAAGTAGTAAAGTCATCTAGAGTCCTATAAGGCTTTCAAGAGAAAAGTAAGGTCCCATATCTGCTATTCTCTTAGAAAATATTTTAGAGCAACTCAATAAAGAAGAGTTCAAACCTTTTCTTGAAAACCATTAAAACTAGTGTGTGTGTGTGTGTGTCTGTCTGTCTCTCTGTCTCATTGTCTTCCTCTTTTTTTAGCTGCTTTACTCACAACTTTGAATAGAGTGATAAGTTCATTCTTAATTTAGTGAGGAAGCTATGGAATCTTTTTGCGATGCATTTCTAATGTCAAGTGTCACTGGTAGCCAGCCATATGGGTCTATGAATACTTCTCTCTGGGTCCAGTGTGCTTCTGTGTTCCCAGAGCTACACCAGCACTATCTATAGATGTTTTCATATTAATATAATTGTAACTATGTGACCTTTATTCCAAGTTACACAAATGCTCTTTAAATTAAGTTTTGAATTTTATGATCCAGTGATGTTTGAATATTCCTGTTGTAAGTATTGGCAGCATGTTTATGATGACACATTATTAGGTATTTCCATCCTTCCTGGATGTTAGTAACTGTGACTTAGTTATTTTCAGATATTTTCTTTATAGTAACAAACTTTCTTTTTTCTTTTTTGCAGTGCCATTGATAATAATTAACTCAGTTGTAATTGTATTACTTTTACTATTTGGGTGAAGATCAATTGGGGAAATGGAAACTCAGAAGAAGAGATGCCAGCAGAAGTTACTACTTTGGTCTTTGTTGGAAGATACATATCTTAGCTGGCTTGTCCTTGGACTTGACAAAAATGGAAACCTGATAAAACCAGAGTCCCTATTTATCTTATTTTTTTTTAATATTGCACTTACAGTTTCATTACAAAAAGATGGAAATCATCCGAAGCAGTAACTCTCCAGGATTGAGATACACTTGATTGCTATCTGTTAATAAAAAGTACATGGCGTGGTAACGATTGTTCAAAGGTGCAGGACTATCACTTCTGTGTTTTTAGAACTTTTTCTCTCACTTCTCAGGGATGATTTTTTTTTTTTAGCTTTTGAATTTCCTTGTGACTTAGCTATGATGCTCAGAGAGAGGTTATCCTCCTAGGCAAAATGTAAAGGATTTCAAAAAAGCAATTACCACATATAAAATGATAAACAGATAATTGAGGTGATTGAACTCTTTTGTTAAACATTTTGTCTCTGTTGTCTTGGTTATGAAAAATTCAAGTTTATAGTAACTATTGAGGGCCAATGCAATCTGACTTCAGGGAGAATAATAATTTTGTAAGTCAGATAGTTGGATGGTGATTGTGTCTTTGTTTTAAATTCTTTTCATGCATTTCTTATTTTAATAATTGGCCTGAATGATGAGACCAGATCAGTATTTATATATTTTCATTGGTAGAAAAATCTGAGTAGAAAAGTCTATGCCCTTTTTACAATGACGACTTATTTTTTTGAAATCAGCATAAATATTACCCTGCAAGAGCAATCCTAAACAATCACAGTTATAAACTGTACTGTGTAAGAGGACTTTATTGTGAAACATTTACCTCTCCCTAAATTATCACGTTTTCAATTCTTGGAGTAGTATATTAAGGGGTGTGATTCTTAATTCTTCTTTCCATCTGTCATGAGGGCATTCATGCTGGATAAGGTGTTTTGTTTTGTTTTGATTTCGTGTCTTAGACCATCCTATATTTTACTCACCCCATAATATAGTTTTATGCAAAAAGATAAAACTGTAAATGGTTTTTATGGAAATTATCAGTTATAATATTTTAAAGGGGTGGGATGGCATATTTGTTTATAGGACATTTGTAAATAAAGTTAAATTTCCAAGTCAAACACTTGCTTTTGTACCTTAGTATGTACCTGTCAGTGTTAATGCAATTAATCTCATTTTGTGCGTAACACTTATATTCTTTGCTGTTAAATCACTAAGCACAGATTTCATGAGAGCAAACACAGTCCATTTTTTTCCTCCAATGAATTGAGTTGCTGGCATCTATCAAGAAGACTCATGAGCAACTTTTATTCTATGGCTTAATTTACTTCTAAAACTTTGGAGCAGATGTTGGATGCCTGTTGGCCGTCTCTGAGTTAGAGATGGATTATCCCTGTGCCTTGAGCCTGTAGCTGAACCAAAGAAAAGTACCAGGGTTTCATAGCTGATTATTTGGTTCATGTGGGTAACATATTTGGCACTTAAGAGGCAAAGTTCTTTTGGCTTTACAAAGAGCTCATGCATGAATCTGAGTTTAAGCCACTGAACAGATTCAAAAGAAGCACAGGCTATGAGCCATACAGAATTTTAAAAAGAAAAGAGACCTTGTCCTGATGCCATTTTCGTGTAAGACATTACAACATCTTCATGGTGAGTTAGTGTCACATATGGCCCAAGTTCACAATTGGGCAGCAGTCAGAGCGGGGCAGATCAGTATTCTGTAGCAAAGTAGTTCTGGGAAAAGTAAAGCAACAAACATCAAAATATTTCATTTCTGGAGGCCACTTAGGCATTTCTAACTTGAATATGTGTGAAGGGAGGTCTGCAAGCTTTCACAGGTTAACCCTGGTTTCCCCAGAGCAGTTGTGATTTAGTAGCCATAGTATCTTATTTTAGTAGGCAGTAATTGAAGTGCCCTGCTTGCCTGCCTGCATCCTCAAGCATTCTCAGAACTAACAATTTGTGATCTTTCTGATTTTCAAATAGGCAAGATACTTATGGTCCTTTATTCTGATCTTGCACATGTATGTTTCTGACTTGTTTTGAAAGATCTTGTCTCTAGTCTAATTAACCAAATTTATGCCCTAACCCTTAATCGAGTACAATGGTTTTCAAACTTCTAACAGCAGAACTATTTTCAAAGGAGCAATAACAATTATAATGCTCCAATACCTAAAACAGATGGAAGCAGGTCTATTTTTATTTGAAGCAGCAACCAGGCCCAAGGACCTGTTATTGTTCACCTACCACTTTTGTCAGGCTTAAAATTCCCTGCTTTAGACTAAGCAAAGTGATCTGTGCTCTTTAGGTATATGTAATCACTTGTGCATATATGTGTATCCACTCATTAAATGTCTAGAGAAAAAGCAATATATCTGAGTAAAAGGAGTAGGAGGCAGGATATTTCTAATTTGCCAAGCAGAATCTATTAGATGGCTTTAACTGCTAAAACCACAGTTTTGGGTTGCTTCATCTGTAAAACTGATGATTTATATATATCTTTCTCAGATCACTAAGCTTTAATTCTAAATGTACCTCAACCAAAGAGATGTTCTCCTGAAGTAAAATGTTTTTGGTGAAATAAAGCACTTTTTCCTTGACTTACAGTTTCAAAGTTATTACCAATAATAAAATTTTGATACCATGCAAAATGGAACTCTTTTTTTTGCTACAATTTGCCTTGGCCCTGATTGGTCATGAGATGTCAGATATTGTGAAAACATTCTGTGAACACGGTGGGCAATGTCCAATGGTATTAGTGATCAAGATAAATTTTGGAATCCTACTCTTTTTGTTTCAGTGCTGATACTGCTTTCTTTATATCTCCACTGCCATATTTTTCCCAAATCAGCCCCTCCCTCTTGAGGTCCATCCCTTTTTTACTGATTTTGCCATTTGGCAGCAAAGCCATTGGAGTCTTTCGATGAGAAAGCCATTAGTCCTCTTTCATTATTTCACATAATAAATGATAGCAACTGTTATACTGTCCAATTGACCAACCCTGGAACCTAATAATTATCCTGATGCCTGTTCTCTCTTACACTCAATTTATCATTAATTTCTGACTATTTTACCACCTAAAGATCTCTTGAAATTGTCTTTCTTGGTTTTGTTTCTACACAGGTTAAGCATCTGTCATAACCCTGCAGTACCTTCGTGCACCTCTCCTACCCACTCCCCATATTGCAGCCAGACTAAGCATTTAGGAAAAATTCATGTCTTAATAGTACCCACTCGCTTAAAATCCTTCAGTAGTGTTTTAATCTAGCTCTGAAAGGGAAAGTAAAAACAGGTTCCCTTTCCTTTTTAAGTACCCTGCTTGTCTGCCCACATCCTCACATGGAAAATTTAGGCTTAACAAATATGAATAAGAATAACAACGTTCACACCCAGTGGGGAGGAAAAGCAAAGGACCCCTAGTCTAGGGAACAGAAAGGGTTATAGCTTATAATGTGGCTGAGTGCAGCGCTGGGCAGAAGGGATGTTGGGTGGTGTTCTAGCAGCATGAGTTTCCAGTCGACGAAAGAGCAGCAGTTTTGTCAAAGGATTCCATACTTACAAACCAGGATGTATATCCTATTATGTCAGATTGCTCAAGAAAGTTTTTCATTTAGTCACTTTCAGAGAGCATGCATAAAATGACCATCTCTGTCCTCAAGTAGTTTATTTGGATCAAGGGGAGAAAAGTAGAGACTCCCAACGTGTGTGGGAGGGGAGCAATGAGGGAGATGGTTCTATCCCAAGATATTTCTTCCCTAGAGATGATAGGTAAGGCCTGCGGTAGCACTCTAATGAGAGTCAGGGTGAGTAACACCAGTTTTGGAATAGCTGATGCAGAAAAGAGGAACGCCACCTGAGGCAGTGGTTGATAGCAGTATGTGCCAGATGCTATTCAAATAGCAAAGCAGAAAATAACCTCAGAGATTGGGTGTTTCAAGGAAAGTGTCTAGGAGATTACTTCTGAGTTACTCCTCGGAACGGGGAAGTGGTGGCGAGGGTTGCAGTAAAGTTACTCAATGAAACGTGGTTCCACCACGATGCTGCGGGAAGAGAAACAGCTACTGAGCAAAGGCAGAGGTTCTGTATTTCCTCTTGCAACTTGGCTGGCTCAGCAGGCCGCACCATTAAAGAACTGGGTCTCAACGACAACCTCGTCCTAATGGTGGCGATGGGGTAGGACTAGACCCGGTACTGGACGTCCGAACCTGGGAAGGAACCCTTGCTGGACCCAGAGGGAGATGCAGGCGGGGAGGCGGGACTTCCGGTGCAGCCCTGGGTGCAATTTCCGGCGTCAATCCGGAAGTAGCCCGGGGCGTCGTGGACCCGTGGCCAGGACTCCGCACACTGCCCTACTGTGCTGACTTTTCTGTTAGCGGGCCTTTGCTGAGGACGGCGAGCGGAGCAGGGTGAGGAACCGCTCTGTAGGCTGCATTTCTTTGTGAGAGGGCCAGGGCTCGAGTGCTTAATTGTTTGCGTCCTTAGGCCAGCCCCCATCGTAGGACATGGACCAACCCACGAGCTCGCTCGGGGAGGACTGTCCCACCCTCCGCAGGGAGACCGCCCCCTAGGCCGCGGCTCTCTAGTGCGTGCGCTGAGAGGTGCACGAGGCGTTTCCGCCGGGCCCTGGGTGTGGGCGGTCAATAGGTGCTCTCGGTATATCGCGAGTCAGGGGTGTTGGTGGTTCCTCGGGATGTGCCCCGTAACTGTATTTGAAGCTGGCGTCCCTTCCAGTCTGTCTGGCGTTTGCCAGGACCTGGAACATGGGCTGGAGCAATGCAGTGACCCGCCCTGGAGGCCCCTTCCCACTAGGAGACGGCGGGACTCGCTGTTTAGTGATGAATGGTTCTTGTTCTAGTAATCAGAGACCCAAATTCTTAAGTTTAGTGATTCAGAAGGCTTTATTGAGCGCCAAGTAGTACAGTGGAAAAGACAACACAGCCCCTTTCCTCACAGAGCTGAACAGTTGGGACAGTGATAAATGTAACAATGAGAGCACCTGGGGGATCCTGGCCCAGCCCTGAGACAAAAGGAGTTGGACTCTGGAATGCCAGAGGGAATGATACCTGAGACCCCAGGGCTGAGGGAGTTGGCCAGAAAAAAGGAGGATGTAGGGGGCAAAAATGGTCCCAGACAAAAGTCCAGCCATGAGGGAGGTCAAGTATAGGACTCCTGCCCGACTGCAGTAGAACTTTGGTGTAGGAGCATAGGCATATGAGTCGGAGAGGTAAACCAGTGTTGGTGGTTAGGACTTTATCCTGCAGAAATTGGGGAGCCACTGGATAATAACATCATTTACCGAGTGCATGCAGTGGTTCCAGACTTTTCTCCTGGACCCATATAAGAAAGAAAAGAATCTCCTCCCACTCCCCACCCCCGCCACGGGTTCTAGGAGGCAAATTCTGAACAGCCCCAACCTCCTAGGAGAAAAATTTTATTTAAGTCTGTTTTATCTTAAATATTTATGCAAGTTTTGAATTGTATGCCACAATCTATCCTTATTTTGGTATAAAATATTTCTCAAATTCTCAAGCAATCCACGACCCAGGATGGCTATGAATGTGGCCCAGCACAAAATGGTAAATTTACTTAAAACATTATGAGTTTTTTCGTTTTCCTTAGTGTTTGTGTACTTAATGTGTGGCCCAAGACAGCACTTCTTCCAGTGTGGCCCAGAGACACCAAAAGGTTAGACCTCCCTGCGTTTAGGACACTGTAGCATATTCTGTGATTTTTGCAGTCTTTGACACACCCATTATGTACCCATTCCTCTCCCCCCACCCGCACATAGGAGGGGGAACCCCAAAAAACCCGGAATCTACTTATAAAAAATTGTGTATTCTTACATGTTTAAATTTCAGTTACCTTCAAAGTAGTCTCCATTTGATGCAATACACATATGGAGATGTTTTTTCCACTGCTCAAAACACTTTTTGAACTCACCAATTTTGGTGCCGTTTAGTGCTCCTGCCATTTTTTGTTTCACCTTTTCCACGTCGGCAAAACGTTTCCCTTTGAGAACTTTTTTTCATCCGGGGAAATAAAAAAAGTCATTCGGGGCAAGATTGGATGAATAGGGGGGATGGGGCATGAGGGTCATGCAGTTTTGGGTCAAAAACTGCTGAACACTCAGCGCAGTGTGGGTAGGTGTGTTTGTAAAGCACCCATCATGAAATGGGCAAACGTGTTGAAAGATTCTTCAAAAAAATTCACTGAAGCTGAGCGCAGCCTCTCGCAACAACGCCAGCTGGTGCACTGATACGGATGGGTTCCTAGAACACTCATCTGTTGGGGGAAGCCTGTACTACAAGGGGCCTGTCCTACAGAAGATAATTCCATTTTTTGTGGAGTCCCCCCTTGTACATAACCCAACCTTTCTGTGCGTGGAACAGTGTTTACAATACACGTCTTATTTTCTCTCCTCCTATCACCCATTAGAGATGGGTGTTATCCTTTCTGTTTTAGCAATAAAGAAACTGAGGCTGTGAGGTTAAAAAAATTGCCCAACTTCACACAGCTAGTAAAGTAAGGTTCAAATGCAGACATGTACAGCTCCTTAGTTCTTGTCCTTCACCACCGCACTATTGCATTTCAGGGAATGGGTTTGGAGCTGGAAATAGAAAATTTGAAGCAGAAAGGACATTTAGAAAGTTATTGAACGGGGCTAGATGAAAAGTGATGGTGCCCAGACTAAGTTTTAGTAATGAGAAGAGAAGTGAGTGGATTCAAGACTGCAAAGGGGTTAGAACTGACGTTAGGCAATTGGCTGGGAGGAAGGAGTGGGAGAGCCGGCTGGGTGTATCTGGATTGATGGTGCTGCCATTCACTCATGAGCCTCTCAGGAAAAAGAGCAGCTTTGAGGGGACGAAGGACTCGTTGGATTGGGGTGCCTCCGGGATATTCAAGGAGAGATGTCCTCAGCTGTAACTTGAAGAGTTCCTCTTAGGATGAGAGAGAATTTACTTTGCAATGACTTTGTACCAGTATCAGTTGTTTATGACTCTTCTTAAGGTATATTCTATGTAACTTGATCAAACTGGGAGATGGTGGGACATGGACCCAAGGTGAACCAAAAATACGGACTAGGTTTGAAGTCTTTACAGGTCTTATGGGGACTAAGCTAATATTTTACAGTTAGCACTTTTAAAAAAAATTCTGAAGTAACTTTTTATTAAGACATAAATGACATATAACATTATACTAGTTTCAGGCGTACAGCAATTATTTGATTTGTATACATCAGGAAATGATCACCATGATAGGTCTATTTTACATCTGTCATTATACATAGGTAAAAAATGTTTTTTCGTATAATGAGAACTCCTGGGAACTATTCCTAGCAACTTCCAAATATGTGATACAGTATTAACTACAGTCACCATGCTTTTGACCCCTTTTTAACCCCCTTCACCCATTTCTCCCCACCCCCACCACTGTACTCTGGCAACCACCAATCTGTTCTCTGTATCTGTGACCTCAGGGGGTTTTTTTGTTTTGTTTTTTGTTTTGGGTGGGGGGAGTCCACGTATAAAAGAGATCATAAGTATGCTTAAATTACATTTGATCAAATACTAAGTTGTAGTTTACGTAACCAGTATTATAAAGGTTCACACTAGAAAAGAGATTGTGGCAGAAGTAGTCAAGACCTCTAATGGGGCTAACTGAAGAAGTAAGTTTTGAGAGCTGAGTGGGGCATGTCAGTTTTCTTCTGGGCCTCAATCAGCCACTCTCAGATATATAATGCTCCAAAGAGCATTTTAGAGTGTAAAAAGTGTCTTCTGTGGGACTGATGAAAGCAGCAACATAGGCTTTTAAAATGCTTTTGTAGCATCTATCCTATGTGGATGCTTCAATAAGGATTAAAATTATCTGTATTCATTAGGACCATTCACTAGTTCTAGTTGTAGTTTTTTTTTAAAGCAGTATACTCCTTTTGTTTTCCAGTCTTGTCTGTATTTTGTAAAACAAAAGAGTTAACGTTTTTTATTGAATATGAGATTTCTTACAAAATTTGGGTTTTAAGAGGAGCAATTGTAGGTTCCTCTGCATGTAAAATACTGCTTTGTCTTCATTTTGTGTAGCCTTATCTTTTGTGGTACAGTGTATTTTAAGTTAAAGAATACTTGTTACATATTCAAATACAGCCTCTAGGAACCATCTAGTCTTTTGACTGTTTCCCCTCTTAGACAGGTAATGGTTGGTGCTGTTGTTGATGTAATCTTTCATTTCAAGGTCACAATACAGTTCAGAAACGGAGTAACACAAGAGAGCTACTACAGAAGAGGGGATTTTGCAATTTAACCTTGATTAATTGGAACTTTTACTATCCTTTTTTTCCTTTTCACTCTTTTTCCTCCCAGCAGGCATATTATAAAAGATAAACGGAACCAAGGATTTGTTTAAAAATCAAAATATTTGAGGGATAGAAGTTATACTGAGTATACAAAAATTGTATGGACTAATTTTAGTGTTTTTTAACTCTATCAAATGTATGAGAAATGACTGACTAAAATATAGCAAGATGGTTTTTTTACTATGAAATATGCCATTTACACAAGAGTATGGAAAACAAAGATGTAAGTTTTTAATAATTTTAATAAAATAAAAAACACTCATCTACTCACCGTCTGTTTCCAGAAGACCTTAGAGGCCCCCTTTGTGTGCTCCTGGTTTGCAGCTCCTCCCACCCCCTGGAGGAATCACTGTCAGGACCCTCCTGAGGTCCTGATCCTCCTGAGAATCATTCCCTTCTCTTTGCACTTTTATCAGCACTTTTATCACCTATGCCTGCCTGCCTTTATCTTAATGCTATTGGAATGTAATGATACTCTATGTCTTCTTCTTCTTGCTTCTTCCTTTCCGTAATAGATTTTTGAGAGGTGTCTAGGATGATGTGTGTAACTGTAGTTCATTTATTTTCTTTTCTTTACTAGAGTACATGTTATTATGTACACATTCACCGTCTCAAATTGTTTTCTTTTTGGTGGGGAGGTATTTTTATTATTGACACTATTACAGATGTCCCCGCTTCTCCCACCTTTGCCCACTTCCACCCAGCCCCCACCCTCCCCTTCCCTCTGGCCATGATTGCACCGCTGTCGGTGTCCATGGGTTATGTATATATGTTCTTTGGCGAATCCCTTCACCTTCTTTCATTCTGTTCCCTCTCCCTCCCTCTGACAGCTGTCCTTCTGTTCCATTGTCCGTGCCTCTGTTTCTCTGTTGTTCATCAGTTTATTTTAATAGATTCCACATGCTGTATATCCCTACAGTGGAATACTATTCAGTAGTAAAAATGAACAGTGGCTCTGTGTGTTAACATGGGCACATCCTCCAAGCCTAATGTGAAGTGGTAAAATGAGTCGCTAAAATAGAAAGAATAACACTAATACAAAGCTTTCAACTTATCAGAATCAGGAAGAGAAGCTTTCTTGGGGAGAGGAAGAAAGGAAATCGGATCCGAGAGGGTATGCAGAGGGCTCCAACTCCATCTGTGATGTTTTATTTCTAAAACTGAATGATGGGTAAAGGAGGTGGTTATATTACCCTTGATACCTTTTTTTGTATGTCTGAAATAATTCATTATAAAAACAAAAATATGGGAAAAATGAGTTTTTAAAAACTAAAAATGAAATCCCATCCTTTTTAGTTTCTATACTGTTCCTACTCCCTTATTATCTTTAAATCATACCTTATATTCTACTGTATGTAGGATATAGCTCATAATAAATTTTAAAGGGAAAATATGCAAAAGGGAACTTTCACATTGTAATGTAAGGATAGTATTTCCTGACTTTAAAATTACTGTATGGCTTGGGATTCTCTCCTCAGTGACCTGTAAATACTGTTAGCTCCTTGGCCATGTATGCCATTTCAGGATATAACAGTGGAAATGGGCGATTAGAAGATTTTCATCATATAGAAACAAAAATCAAAAAGATTTGCCAATGATTTAGTGCTTACACACACCTTTTCAGAGTGCATTATTCTTATATTTAAAAATGAAATAAATGGTCCTGGCTGAGTGGCTCAATTGGTTGGAGTGTCATCCTGTATACCAAAAGGTTGTGGGTTCAATCCCTGGTCAGAGCACATACCTAGGTTGTGGGTCCGATCTCCAGAGCACATACGGGAGGCAACCAGTCGATGTTCTCTCTCACATCAATGTTTTTGTTTTTGTTTTTCTCTCTCACTCTCTCTAAAATCAATAAGCATATCCTCAGGTGAGGATTATAAAAAATTAAAAATAAAATAAATGAATAAGTTGTTACACCAAAAAGTTAAGAACCTAAAAGTAAATAGTAACTTGTATTTTATTACCTCCTTTTTTCTCTTTCTAGTTTTAATTCAAGATTTTTTTAAATTCAAGCATTATGAAAATTTTATGAGTCAATTTTTAGCTTTTGATTTCAAAAAACACATCTTTCCCCCAAAAGAAACAGCTTAGCACCAAGCAGTGTCTTTTTGGTTATAAATGATATTTTTGAAGACTTCCCAGTTTTTAATTGTCCATTGTTTTCTAAACTGTATCTTTCATTTCATTTGCTCTCTCCTAGGAATGAAGGATGGCAGCACGCCGTGCGTTAAAAGCTGTTCTGGTAGATCTCAATGGCACACTTCACATTGAAGATGCAGCTGTGCCAGGCGCACAGGAAGCTCTTAAAAGGCAAGCTCTCCTCCAGGTTCAGCTGACAAACATGTTTGAGAGTGCCATTTTACCAAGGCAGATCATTAGCCAAATGGACGGCCTTAAGATGGCATTTCACCAGCTTCCATATACGCAAAAACTGCCTTGGATTTAGCTAGAAGATGTACACATTGTAATATCTTCCAAACATTGTGCTCTAAGCCTTTATTAGGTTTGGCCTTTTGATCTAGTTTCTTTGTTCTTTGTGTGTGTGTCTTTTCATAAGTCAGTAATGTAAATTTGTGAATGAAAACTCAAGATTCGAAAATGTAGAGTAAATGGCATTGGAAGAATCACAAATGAAGGAATCTCGCAGTGAAACATGCACAGACACAAAGGAGTAATGCCACGCACTCCCCTTCACCTGAGATCTAGCATTGAGCGTGCAGCTGCTCGAATAAAATTTAATTAAGGGACTTGAAATTTTAGGATTATTTCCATCAACTAAATTTAATGCCTTAGAAGGTTAGATTGTTTTATATTTCTAATGTATCAGCCACAGTAATTAACACGTCTAGATACAAGACAGGATACATAGTAAAAATTTGTTAAAGTAAACTGAATGTGAATGTTTACTTCAGCGTGTCCTGAAAAAAATATTCATCAGTACAACAGTACAAATAATTGGTATGAAGCACTTTCGTACTAAAATAATTTAGAGAAGTTTTCAAAGTCAGCAGTACTTAGCATGCAGTGCTTATCATTTTCCCACCTTAAAATAGCCAATAGTATGCTTTCTGTAGAAAATCTAGTAGCTAGTATCGCAGTGCCAGGTGTTAGGATAAAAGATTGATACAGACCTTGCCTGCATTCTCTCAGGGAGCTTACTTTCCATTTGGAGAATCAACAAATAAAAAGAGACTTGTTTATCTTGGAAGCTGTCAGTTTAGGTAGTGTTCATCTTATAGGTGGACAATGTGTTGTGTAAAGCCAAAAGAAAAGTAGATGCATAGTTGGACTTTCTCTTGACTCCTTAACATTGTCTGTTAGTCAGGCTTTCTCTGGGAAAGGTTGTGGACAGGAGCTTTTACTGTTCTAAAAGTAAGCTTTCTACTTTGGATTGAAAGAAAAACCTTTTTATTTATGTTGAAGAATGAATGGCATCACTAAGAATCTCTGTTACTGTGAGCCTGCCATTCTGGAGGGGCCGGTGCCTACAAATTGCATTGGTGAATTTCCATCCACGGAAATTGCCATATTGTTTTGGCTGGTTTTGATTTCTATAGAAACAAACAGGCTATGGGAAATTGAGGGACCAGTAAAAAATAAAAAATAAAAGTTTTTTTAAAACCTTTATTAAAAATGATGTGGTTATTTCAGTATTTCTAATTGTTAATCTTTAGGATAATAGTTATATTGAAATAATCACTTTTCTTTTGAGAGAGAAACTACCAAATTTTAATGTGTTTTTTAGAAAAGCTAGATATTATAGAGACAATCATTATTACAGTGAACTATTTAATCATACAAATCTAGTTAATGTTCTTTGTGTGAATACTTAAAAATCTCTTCTGTTTTATGTGCTTGCTTGTTTTAAATTATGGTGAGCGCTTTTACACCTTGTGTCCATTTGGGACAGGCACAAAATAAAAAGCAATAGGGTATTAAAATAAAATTTTAAATTGTAGCTAAATTAAAATTCTTTTTAGATTTTGGATTTAAAAACTGTAGGAACAAGACAGTAATTTTCATTTTTAAAGAAAGCTAGACTATCATGAATTCTCTCTCTGATATCTGATTGCCAGTTTAAGTTCCGAAAGCACATCACAGAATCAGAACAATCCTGTATGTAAGTAGTTGAAGGGGAAAACACATTTTATTATTTTTTTAAATGTAATGTTTCTTTGAGATGTCCAGATAGATTCTGTTTATAAATTTGCTAACACATTAGGATTTAGCCAGTGTCTAATTGGCTAAGAAAAAGAAAACACCTTGAGATGTCCCCTGTTCTCTTAGTATAGGAGATCAAGTCCTATACCAGGACATTGATTGGAGCTCTTGTCTTAGCTCTGCTGCTACCCAGCTGTATAAAGCTTAGCATATCACTTAGCTCTTCTAGGCCTCAATTTTCTCCTCCTCAAGAAGAGAGGATCGTACTAATAAAAAGGTAGCTTTCACCTCTCATATTCTGTGAGTACAGTGGTTACTAAGTTTTGTTTTACTCATTTCTTTGATAAAACCCTGCAGTAAAATTCTGTTAAAGTACAGAAGGTTCTCCAAAAGGTAGACACAGCTTTTACAATTTGACTTTGTGGCCTCTGGTAATAAAGCAGCCCAGAGGAGGTAGATAATATGCACGCAATTATCGGTAGATAACATTAAAGACTATGGTAATAAAAAAAATTTACTTTCACTTTCTGACCTTTGGCAAGTGCTACCAAATTAGAAGATTTTTATGGGGCTACACTGTGAAAGTTGCCCTGTTGACATCTGAATTTTACTTTTCCAGGTTACGTGGTACTTCTCTAATGGTTAGGTTTGTGACCAACACAACCAAGGAGAGCAAGAAAGACCTACTGGAAAGGCTGAAGAAGTTGGAATTTGATATCTCTGAAGATGAGATATTTACTTCTCTGACTGCAGCCAGGAATTTAGTAGAGCAGAAACAAGTCCGGCCCATGCTGCTAGTTGATGATCGGGCATTACCCGATTTCCAAGGTAGGGGAAATTTGGAAGGATTTAAAAACTGGGTCTTCATATCTTCTTATAAATCATTCTTCAAACTGAATGCGTAGAAGTATTTATTCAGATTTCCTCCTATCATTGAATCTAATTTGGTGTTTCTCAAAACTGTTCTGACTGCAGTCCGCAGTAAGCGAAACACATTACATAGAACCTAGTACATATATGTGTGTGTTTATATATGATACACAATACTAACTGTGTGAGAAGTACCTTATTTTCTGTTTGGTTTACTTAATTGTTTATTTGATTGTGTTGCTGCTTAGAGCCCTCCAAATTAGTTTTATAATTTACCAATGGAGCATGGCCCACCGTTTGAAAAAGCACAGGCCAAAATTACTTTGAGTATTATAATCCTTGATCCATGAGCCACTGTATTCATTTGATTAAATGAAATAATCCAATATTTCCTTTTTTAAAAATAGATGTCATTCTGTGTTGTATGAAATATTTGCGATGATCATGAAATATTTTCAATCAATCGAAAGTAAAACTGTTTTCTCTTTGGAAAAATTAACAGACTGGAAAAATATTCTAGTTTATGAAGCTTTGCCACATTGCTTTGTTTTGTAGATGATACTCAGACTGAAATGAAATAATATAGAAAAATGGGTATAAATATAACATAAAACCATGTAATGGCTGTACAAATAACAATTAGGGAAGTTCAGCGTGGATATACAGTTGAGCAGAACCTCACAACTTTTACTCTCTGTGTATCAAGAATTATTATAATAATAATTTGTAATAAACCAATTTTGGCTGAATTAAACAAAATAAGTTCACTAGAGGAATCTGGGCATTGACAGCAATATAAAGTGGTGTAACTCCAGTGGAGAGGAATGTGGCAACAGCTAGCAAATGTGTGTATGAAGCAAGTACTGTCACTTGTAGGACTCTGTCTCCAAGATATAGTTACAGAAATGCACAACGTCATATGAACAGGGTTGTTCATTATAGCCTTATTGGTAATAATGAAAGATTGGAAACAACCTGAATGATCATTGGAAGTGATTAATTAATTAAATTGTGATAGATCCACCAAATGGAATGCTTTGGAGTTGGCAAATGAGTAGTGACCAAGATTTTTATGCCCAGATAAGAAGTGATCTTCATAAGAGGGAAATGTGTATATATATACGTACACACACACACACACAATGTTTATAAAAGGCAGCTAAGAAGGATAAATGAAAAACTACTAAAAATGGTCATGTAAAGGGGGAGGAAGGGAGAAGGAAATGAGAATTATTTAAAAGTACCTTGTTACATAGTTTTGACTTTGGAACTATGTAAATATTTTACATATTTAAAAGACAATTAAACAGTAAAAAAAAAACCCAGCACCTGAAAACTAAAAGCAAATTGGAACAAATGAACTTAAACTCTATATCAAGTTGGTGACTTAACTACTCAGAGAAAAGAATTATTTGAAATGACTTCGAAATATGGTATTTTGACTATTTGTTCATAGTAGGATAAATTCTAAGGATAAAAAGAACTGCAAAGACATCTTAAACTGCATTCAGTAGTTTAGTGTTATTAGTATTGTTGGTATTGCTATATTTAAATTATATATAATATTGTACCATACATATAGGATAAAACAAAGTAGTAATAACGCTAGTATCATTAAGATCCAAGACTTTAAGTGTAAATGAGAACTCATACAAATTAAAAAATCAATTAATTAAAAGCGGTGTATTATTAATTTGTAATTGAAAATACCATTATCAACTCCCTTGTTCTCTTGAAAAACACATATTATCTAGATCTTCCACTTGAAAGACCTAGAAACAATGGCAACCCAGTGCTCAGACTGTAGGATCAACTACCATTTCCCAATTTAGTTCCTTGGAGTAGTGGCTAATTCCAGATCTGGGAAGGTGTTGTATGAGTTTGGGATAACTAATTGTGTTAGTAAGGAAACTATTGAAGACTAATGAGGTCATGTCTAAAGGACAGTGGGGCCAATTTTAAGGGATATTTGATCATCAAAAAGAGTAATGATTGCAATGGATTGCAACGCAAATGAATAAAATGCCATGAGTTCAGCCCTGGTTGGTGTGGCTCAGTAACTTGAGTAGTGGCCTGCAAACCAAAAGGTCACTGGTTCCCAGTCAGGGCACATACCTGATTGCAAGTCAAGTCCCCAGAAGGTGGTGTGTGAGAGGCAACCACTTTAATGTTTCCCTCCCTCTCTCCCTTCCTTCACCTCTCTCTAAAAATAAATAAAATATTTTTAAAAATAAAAAAATAAAATGCTGTGAGTTCAAATGATACTCATTCCCTCAAAATTCATTGGTCACTATTGGAGTTTGTTAGGATAGTAAATCATTATTCTGAAAATTGATAAGTTAAACGAGTGAAACACACTTGGCCAAGTCACTCAGTTGGTTAGAGCATCATCCTAATGCACCACAGTTGCGGGTTTGATCCCCGGTCAGGTCACTCAAGGATCAACCAGTGAATGCATAAATAAGTGGAATAACAAATCTGTGTTTGTTTCTCTCTCTTTCTCTCCTCCCCCCTTTCATCGCCCTTCTTTTCTGTCTCTAAAAAATCAATTAAAAAATTAAGGGAGTGAAACAAGCATTTATCCTGCCTTTCCTATTTGAACTATATTTTAGAGTAACCAAATATTTGATAAGGGTACATTCATTATGGAATTCTAGCTATTAAATGCAAAAGGAATGACAGAATTAAAAAATCACCATTGGGAAGCCCTAACAAAATAGGCAACAACATCAATAGATTTTAAACACATTAGTTAAGGGCTGATGGGAAACTCTAAAAGGAAGGAATCAGCCTGACACCACTTAAACCTGTCAGTCAGTCTTAACACCACTAGTACTAGAACAAATGGAATTTTTGTGGTTCGTGACATGACATAATTAGGAGTTTTATAACATTGCCTATGAAAAAATCTTGCCTAAAATTGAATGTGAATCTATGAAGGCTATAAAGTTAATTAAAAGTTGACAGGAAAGGTAAGGTAAAGGGGCAAATTAAATAATAGTATAAGAAATCAACCAAATCCAGAACGTGGGACATTTTCCAGGATTAATGATCTAGCTGCTCTGATAAGTGAAGAGGGGTGCTGTTGCAGAGCGAGGAGACAGAACAATCAAATGTACTATATGCACCTTGTTGGATGCCAATTACGTATCAGATGTACAAAGACATTTTGAGACATTTGGGGAAATTCAGATGTGGACTAGAGTGATATTTTTAAAAATTATCAACTTTGTTGGCATAACAATGTTAAGGTAGCTTTTTTAAGTCTATCAGTTACAGATACACACTGAAATATGAAAAGGTGAAATGAATGACATGATATTTGAGATTTGCTTTGAAAATGCTTCAAAAAATGTAGAAAATGATAGGTAACATTGGTAAAAAAAATGTAGAGAATGATAGGTAAGAATAATAGATAAGATTGCTAAAGCTGGGTGATAGGTACATCAAGGCTTATTATACTAGTCTTTCTACTTTTATATATTTCTAAAAATTTCCATGACAAAGAGAAAGGCTGTTCGGGTAGCCCACAAAACTGTCAGGGGGAGCCTGGAGATGTAGGCTTAGGGGCTGTGCAGCCAGGAACAGTGTGCAGCATCTTGTCGCAGAATTGATCAGATGCCATTGATTGTCCCTGCTAAAGCTTTGAACTCTGCAGCTTGCCCAGTTGACTCCAGTGGAACTGAAGATTGGATGTTTCAGGCAGCGCTGCTGCCTAAGAATTTGAAGCTGCAACAGTTACCTCTTCCAATGGAGGTTTTCTCTGTTTCTTTTGCTAGCTTCCAGTTCAGAACCTTGGGTAGGTATTTCTGATGGGCAGAGCCTCTGTTTCATGCTAGCACCCGTAGCTGCAAGAGAGGTGGGAAACGTGTCTGGTGTTTTAAGCCTCTGTTACTGTAGGTTGAGCTCTGCTTCTCACCAAGCCTTATGAGCTAATGAATTACCTGATTATAAGAATGGTATTCAGAAACTGGGCAAAACCAAAAATAATGAAAAATACACCCTATAATGAGTGTATTTGTGTTTCTGGGTTAGCTGAAGTACTACAAAACAATATTTTAATCAGGTTTTTCTCTTTTCACTTTATTTAAAAAAAATTAAGATTCCTGTTATGCCCTGGCCAGTGTGGCTCAGTTGGTTGGAGTGTCATCCCATAAATCAAAAGCTTGCAGGTTTGATTCCTGATCAGGGCACATGGCTAGGTTTTGGGTTTTGTCCCCAGTCAGGGGCATGTATGAGTGAATGTTTCTCTCTCTGTCTCTCTCTCCTTTCCTTCCCCTCTCTCTGAAATCAATAAGCATGTCCTTGGGTAAGAATTTAAAAAAAATATATTCTAGTTGTATCAGCAGTGAGCTGGTGTTGGGCTATATAAGCAGGGTCCCTGGTATGGAAGGATTCTTTGTCATTCAGTTCAATATTTGGTAATATTTGGTTCAAATATTGGGCAATATTTGAAACATCCTTATATACAGGAAAATACCCAAAGTAGATGGGTTTTTGAAAGGCAAGAAATATCTTTGCTGTCATTGAGTATCTTTGCTAGTGGTAGATGAACTAATAAAAGGAACAACAACAACAACAAAAAAAACCCTTTACCATAGCCAACAATTTTGTTTTCTTCCTTCAATAAACTTCAATCAATTACTCAATACTCATGGTTGCTGGTAGTGGGAAAATTGGAAACCCTAGACATCTACTCTTCCTATTTCTTTCCCTTACATTTTGGTGGACTCGTTAGTGAAAAATACTTAAAGGCAAGCAATAAGAAAGGCAAATAGGAATTGGTATATGGATAATCCAAAGAACCTTTAGTCAGACTTTTAATAACTATGATGGTAAATGTACCCTTTTGGTTGTCACATCTGAAATCCTGTTAAGGGGGCCAAGGCCTTAAAATATGCTTAAATTATAGGGTAATATTTGTGACACTAGAAGTAAGTGAGGCTTTATGTAGAAAATAGTAGAATCTACAGTGCCTTACATATTTATCATGAATGTGTTAACCTCCGCTGTGTCAATTAGAGTGTCTAATTTCCCTTGCCTCTTAGATTTTCATTCCCTCATCAGTTGCTATTGATCTGATAGCTCATAGAGAATTCATGGCTGTTCTTGTTGATTATAATCAGTAAAGCTTTTTGAAATTAGAAATTACGTATTTGAGAATATCAGGTTACATGTTGCAGTTCAGATATTATAATTACTGAGTAGCTGTAAAACCATGCAAAAGAAATATGCAAAAATTCTAGGAGACCTTTTTCTTTCAAATATCTCTTATAATATTTCCAAAATGCACAGGGCAGGATAATTTCTTAAACTTTAGATTATTGTTACAGCAAAAATTTATACTTGATTGACTAAAACTGCATTATTATAAAATGTGACTTTACTTTAAATTGCATTTTTCAACAATCACATATTTTTTTCCCTTCCCAGGAATACAAACAAGCGATCCTAATGCTGTGGTCATAGGATTGGCACCAGAACATTTTCATTATCAAATTCTGAATCAAGCATTCCGGTAATTCTCTAGCTATGTATTTTTCATTTGATCATATTCCATTTCCCTTCTTGAGTCTTTGTCACGTAAGGTTATATGTGTTTTACTTTCTAGCCACTAGACCATACATGGGGACAGATATCTTCAAAATCAGAAGATCAACATCAAATAATATTTATTACGGTCCTACTTAGTTTTTTAAAGATGATCAGTATGTTAAAATATGATGATCATTGGGGTTTCTTTGGTTTATAGAATCAATAGTCTGGAGCTGAAATTCATAATAAAGTTGCAAGTCTTAAAGCTAGCAGTTTTATCTTTTATCATCACTCCCATGAATCACTGACAATACTGATTTCTGATGGAAAACAGCACCCAGGCTAATGCACCCAAAACTGTAAATGTGATTCTTCCTCTAGTGAGAACGCAGGCTATGGAAAAAAAAAAATGGACATATTTAACCATACTTTCAGAGAAATTATTTGAGTGATAATGGCAGTCTAAACTGGGATAGGAGAGACGAAGAAAACCAGATTCAGGTAGTGTAACGTGGCTCGATGAATGGTTGAGTTTAGGAGTTGAAGAAGGACAGTGAGTCAAGGAGAACTTCAAGGTTCTAACCTGGGCACATGGGGTGGGGAACGCTCCCTGTGTGGGTGGGGTTCAGGAGGTGATAAGTTCACATTGGGGCTGTTTGGCAGGTGGCGTAGTGAAGTGGAGATGTTCCAGTGGCTGTTGATTGAAATTTGGGGAAACACAGCTAACCCATAGCTTATAAATCTTCAGCTGTGTATGCATTTTACTTTTATGAACTTCTTGCTGCTGCTTCCAAAAGGACAGCTACATACTGTTTCTCATACTTTCTAAGATAAATTGGATCGAAATTTGCCAAAAAATCTGCGCCAGAGTGAGACTGTGACTTTTTCCCTTGGATTTTTTTCATTTTTCAACTTTTACTTCTTGTCAAACCATTGAACAGTATAATTTATCTTTTAACTTATGACGAGTAGTTCAGAATATTACATAAGGGTGCATTGAGCTAGCTTAAAAAGTTTTTTTAATGGCTTGATAAATTTTGGTATTTAACTTCCAGGATGCTATAAAAACATCATTTTCTTACCAGTACAAAGATCTATGAGAATCATTCTAATGTATATTTGATGTAGAATTCAATTCTTGATGTATATGTCCTAGAATCAGAATGTAGGAAACTAAAACTCACTACAAGGCTCACACATCTGGGCACATTATTTGCTGTTGATCTTGAAAATGGCTGTTCTCGTGTATAATCTATGTAGCCATAAATAGCACCTTTTTTCCCTGTGTGCATTTTAGAGCCTCAGTTAATGGAAACTATGACTACTTAATGCACTTAGTCATTATGGAAGTTAAGCCTTTGTTTAAAAGGCACATACTTGCTGTTTCAGTTGCTCAGTATCTGTTTACCATAGTTATTTTGTGGAAGTCCACTGTTATGCCACATTGCATGGAGATACACTTGGGGGCACATGGTGTTAAAATTTCTTTTGCTTCACCTACTTCAATTATTCTACTATGGCTTCTTGGGGTTGGGGTGCGGGGGAGCCGTGTTATATCCTATCACCTGCTCCTTGAGTAAGGTTTACAACTATACCAAAATCAGTTTTCATTTGAAATAGAGAACCTACTGTAATTTCTTACTTCCGAATCTACCCCTACTAATTACCACAGAATTCAAGGAGAAGGTATTGATTGATTTTAGCTGGTAATTTGGGAAGGACATATTTAATAGGTCTCTGTCTTAGATGAATGCTAGACTCAGGGTAATAAAAATGTATGTTGACATAATACTGACTTTATAATTGCTCGGATGCTGTCTAATTAGTACACTTCCCTAACCATATTGATTTTTCTAAATACTACATTTGAAAGCATTACAGTGCACTTGTAGGTCAACTCTAATTTCACAAATGCACTTAACAGCTGGGGGGAGAGTTAACAGAAGGTTTTAGGTCTTGCTCTTCTTTGCATATTGATGTCTCCACAGAGACTGTGCCTTGCAACCAATGACTACAGCTGTTTGGATTGTAAGTGGCAAATATAGACATCTCAAATGAACCACCGATTAGTTAAATTACTGTTCAGGTTGATAATGAGAATAAACATTGGATTTTAAACCCCATTGCATAGCTGTCTTGAATACCGGCTTCAGGGGCATATTGCCCTCAGGTGGAGGCATTAGCCGTCCACATTACACTGCTTTTTATTTACTGTTTCAATTGGGTAGGCCCCCCAAAATGCATAGTAAAATCTGGCTACAAATATGTCTTAAATGTCTGAATGAAATTGAGAACACTGCATTCTAGAGAATTGATATTAGAGAAGAATATGAATCAGTTATAAGGAATAGATATGATTTCGGGGTTTGGAGTCTAGAAAACATTTACATACGACTAAAAGATAGAAAGAATAATATAACAAACTCCCATATGCTTATCAAACAGTTTAAGAAAAACAAGTTATGTCATCATTTGATATCCCCGACATATTCTTTCCCAGTTTTATCACCCAAGACCCAAAAGTAATCAGGATTCTGAATTGTGTTTATCATTTGAATGCATTTTTTACAAAATGATTTTATTTATTTACTTATTTTTAGAGAGGTGGAAGGGAGGTAGAAAGAGACGGAAACATCAATGTGTGGTTGCCTCTTGCGTGCCCCCCACTGGGGACCTGACCTGCAACCCAGGTATGTGCCCTAACTGGGAATCGAACCGGTGACTGGTTCACAGGCCAACGCTCAGTCCACTGAGCCACACCAGCCAGGGCTGCATGCATTTTAAAACATACTATAACACGTATGTAGGCATCCCTAGACAGTATAGAGTATTATTTTGCATGTTTTATACTTTATTAATTTGCTTTCTTCCTTAGTAATACCAAATGATTCCTCAAAATACATATCCATAGCTCCAGTTTACTCATTTTCACAACTGCAGTACTAGCTTGTAGCAAGGCCTTTTTCATCTTCTGACCTAAGTTAGAAATGCAAAGCTTGAGCATTTTAGTAAAAGATCAATATAATTAAATTTAATGATTTCTATTACGAGGAAGGCTACCTGGGCAAATCTAATTTGAACTTAGCATTAACAAGATTAAAAAATATCCAAGCACAAAAGTAATATGTCTCCATTGTGGAAAATTTTAAATGCACAAAAGAGAATAAACAAAATCATCTGTAATTTTTCCACCTAGCTAGTTTGTTTCCATGCACACACATACTTAGACAAAAATGAGACTGTGTATGTATACTATGTTGAAATTTGTTTTTTAAAAACCCAACAATATATTGTGCATGTTTTTCCATATTGTAAAATATTCTAAAACATGTTTGATTCCCACAGCATATTCCACTTAGCCAGATGTTCCCTATTGGTTATTTCCAAGTTTTTGATGTTAGTTTTAAAACGAAACAGCTTCTGAGAATGTTTGTTAAGCAATATTTTTTTGTTCCTTAAGATTTTTTCAGAAGTTTAGTTTGTTGGATCATAGGAATTTTGAGGAAGAAAGCTGCATGGAATTGCTTAACCTAGGAAAAGTTCAAGTTTTTTGAATAAAATCAACTGCTCTCCAGCTTCTAGAGGAGCTTATTAAAATGTCATTCTATCTGAAAATAAGTAACATCACAACTTCCACATTTAAATGCAAAAAGTGGAAGGCTGCTTAAGAACAATATGTTGAGCCCTGGCTGGTGTGGCTCAGTGGATTGAGTGCTGGCCTGTGAACCAAAGGCCGCCAGTTCAACTCCCAGTCAGGGCACGTTCCTGGGTTGCAAGCCAAGTCCCTAGTCGGGGGCACGTGAGAGGCAACCACACACTCATGTTTCTCTCCCTCTCTTTCTCCTTCCCTTCCCCTCTCTCTAAAAATAAATAAAATCCTTTTTTAAAAAAAGAATAATACGTTGAAGTTTCAAAATGACTTAATTTTGAAGTTAATTATTTCTTTTCTAGAGTTATTACAAGGTACAGTAATCTTAAAAAGTCTTAAAGATGTGCTGAGATTAAGGCTTTTTTTGTTTTTCAGGAAGAGGGCCTTATTACCATAAATGGTTCTTGTTGAATGTTGGATTGCTTTTTCTCCCCTTTTCTCCTCAAGAAAAAATTAAAAGTTGATTACTCCAATAGATTCAATTTTTTAGAAGGGGAAGAAGAGAAATGGAGAAAAAAAGATCAACAACAGCAACCTCAGTTACTACTGCATTTGTACAGTAACTCCGGAATCTTTTCTAAGTTTTCAGAGCCCTAGGCACAAGGAGTTCCAGAACAGTGTGGTAGCAGAACTCCAGTTAGAAATATTTCTCTGGGCTTTACTCAGTGTGAAAGGGCTGACTGCTGTGTGGTCTTTTTAATTCAAGTCCAGACTATGAGAAATTGAATAAGACTAAAGAACTTGAGTTATTTAAAGCCTTCCATTAGTGTATACAAGAGAACCACTTTATATACCACTTTGAAATTCACAGAATACACAATTGAATTTAATATCAGTCACTAACTGCTCCTATTTTTTAATTTGAGGAGACTGTTATATGATCAAGGCGACTCTTGCCTACTCTAAATAAAAGTTGCAGGTGAAAAAAACACATAAATATATTCTGTTACACATTTTTAAAAGTTGGCGTACATGGGGGTACCCAACAAAATCGTAATTATCTTCTGGAGGCCAGGCCCCTGGTAGTCCAGGCTTCCCCCCGATAGGTGAGTGTTCTAGGAACCCACCTGTATCAGTGTACCGGCTGGCATTGTTGTGAGAGGCTGCGTTCGGCTTCAGTGAATTTTTTTGAGGAATCTTTCAATGTATTTGCCCATTTCATGATGGGTGATTTACAGATACTTCTACCCACACCACACTGAATGTCCAGCATTTTTTGATCAAAAAAGGGCATGACTTCTGTGCCCTACCCTCCCTATTCACCTGATTCTGCCCCTGGCGACTTTTTTTGTTTCCCTGAATAAAAAAAAAATTCTCAAAGGGAAACGTTTTGTCCCGTGGAATAGGTGAAACAAAAAACTGTAAAAGCACTAAAAGGCATCAAAATTAACAAGTTCAAAAACTGTTTTGAGCAGGGGATAAAAATGTCTCAGTAGGTGTATTGCATCAAATGGAGAGCACTTTGACGGTAACTGAAGTTTAAACATGTAAGAATAAATACACAGTTGTTTATAAATAAATTTTGGGGTTTTTTTGGTCCCTCCCCCCTTGTATAACATGCACAGTAAAGTATACAAATTGTCAGTAGACAGTTCACTACGATTTTACACATACCTGTATAACCGCTCTGATCAAGATCTAGAACATTCCCAGTGCCCTAGAAGGCTTCCTGTCTCAGTCAATACCACTCCTTCCTTAAGGTAATCACTACCCTGACTCCTGCCAGTATTGCTAGTTCTTGGTCTTCATATGAATGAAATCATGCAATTGTAGCATTTTTGTCTGTTTTTAAGATTTATCCAAGTTGCTGCAGGTAGCAGTACTTTGTTGTTGTTTTGTTTCTTCTTTGTTTTTGTTGTGTAGTAGTCTGTTGTATGATTATTCCACAAATTATTTATTTATTGTTAATGAGCATTTGGATTGTTTCCAGTTTTGGCTGTTATGAGCAAAGATGCTATGAACATTCTTCAACATGTCTTTTGGGGGACATATGCACTCATTTCTCTTGGGTCTGCAGAGTAGCGAAATTACTGGGTAATAAGATAAGTACTTGTTTAGCTTTAGTAAATATTGCTAAACAATTTTCTAAAGTCATTATAGCAAGTCATATATTCCCACTGGCTGTGAATGAGAGTTTCAGTTGCTCCAAGTTCCCACCAGTCTCTGGCCAGTCTATGTAATTGAAGCTGTTCTATTTGCTGTTTATAGTGACATCTTACTGTGTTTCAGTTTCTGTTTCCCTGACGAGTAATGTTCTTGAAACCTTTTCATATACTTGTTAGCCATTGGATAACTTCTTTGCGATGTGCCTATTAAAATCTTTCACTTTTTCTGATTGGGTTGTATTTTTCCTACCAATTTGCAGGAATTTGTTATATATACTAGCTTTTGGTTGGATATATGTACTGCAAATATCTTATCCCTGCATTTTCACTTTCTTAATATTATGAAAACATGAAGTTCTTAATTCTAATGGAGTCCAATTTGTCAAAATGTCAGTAGTGCTAAGGTTGAAAAATCCTGGTAGTTCATCCCCTTCGTTGATAGGAAACCTAGGCCTACAAATGGGAAGTGATTTGCTGTTACCTATTTTAAGAAGTGTAAATACTGCGTTTTGACCAGCAAATGCTGGGGGGGCAGGGGGCGGGGGAGAGGCAGTGCTCTCCACTGTGGGATGTTGAGCAGCGTCCCTGGCTTCCACCCACTGGATACCAGGAGCACCCCTCTTCCTCCAGTGGTGACAACCAAAAGTGCCTCCAGATGCTGCCAGGTGTCTCCTGGGAAGCAAAACTGTCCCTAGTTGAGAACCACTGAACTAGCTGTTTGCCTGTTGTGTTTATATTGTGGCCCTGCTCCCTCACTAGGATTTTCAGTTTCTCCCTTTGCCTACAAGGAATTCACAGCCAGAGATTTTTGCATCGAGCCTTCTTTGCATCCTTTTGTCCTTGCTTCTTGCACCTCAGTGGGCTTATAGTTATAGACAGAAAATCCTCAGAAGATTTCCTTCTGATACATTATTTCTGGTGTCAAAAACAGCCAACCCTTTGTTTCCCTGTCTAGTAAGTGTAAAAACACTCCCAAGTGTCTATTATTGATATTTTTTTAAGTGTTTAACTATAGAAGATTTTTTTAATCTGTGTCCTAGAAAATGTTTATCTTTCTGTCTATCCTGAATATGCCTTGGCTCTTCAAAGACTCAGTAAAGCTTATGCTGTGCAGAGCGTGATAGAAGCAGGAACCGCTCCCTGAGAGATATCTATCTTTCCCAACCTCATGTAGTACCAGTTTCCATTTAGAGAAATGTAGAGGAACCCACAGTTGCAGCCCTTTCAGGGAAGGCACTAAAGTACTGCTTGGGAATTAAGTACACACATCAATCAAGCTGATAAGTCTTATACCCAGTTAATACATAATAAAATATTAACAAAGCCAAATCAAATGAGTTTTTAGTTTAGCTATATAAGTGGAAAGCAATTTTGAGGTCTGTTGCATAAAGAATTCCAGTTCCGTGGTAGAGTAGCAAATAAATGGGATTAGGGGCGGGTGACAGGAGGGGAGGTAGATAAATCACCCACTGTTATCTCATTGCCATCAGCTGTAGTTCTTTAAGGCCCGCATAGTGGCTTTGTCAGGTTTCCTAACAGTTGGATTTTAGGATCTGCTCTAAGAAATAAACTTGTATTAATATTAGTGAATAAATTTGAAGGATCTGTCCTGTGCTGTGAGCAATTTGTAGTAACTAACAGTAAGGCCCTGTAATAGTCTAGTATTGGTTTTTACTTAATAAAATATTTAATCATAAATGTCTGAATTCTGCATCTCCCACAGGAAGGCATTTTCATGCCCACCAACAAGAATAATTTAGCAGTTTCATAGTTGAGCGCTTAATTACTCATAATTGTGAAGGGTAAGATGTGATGAATTCTTCCTCGATGGATACTAAATATTTTAACTAAGTAGATGACTTAAAGTAAATTAAGCTAGTGAGATCATTTATTACATTGGTTAAAAGCAGTTTAAAAAATATATCATGTCCTGCATTCCATTAGGTGATAATATATGCGTGACTGTTCTGCTCTGTGACTGCAGGCTGCACTGTTGGGGTGGCTGGTAGATTTTTTTGGATAGGGGTTGGGAGGAGAGTATTAAGAAGTTGGTGGGGTTTTTTGGACTTGTTTTGCTATGTTTTGCCTGAGTCATTAATAGAAATCCTTAGCTATCTATAGGGTTTGGTTATCAAATTAATGCTTTGTGCCCTTTTGTTTGGTATGGAGATATTTGTCCTATGTCAGGACAAAGAAAGAGATTTGGCAGGAAAGGCTCTCCCTTAAACCTTGTTGGTTAAACCATGCCACACCACACACACACACACACACACACACACACACACACAGACTCTCTCTCTCTCACACACACACACACCCCCACACACACACACACACTCACACACACACTTGTTGGTTTGTTCTTCAGGGAAGATAGCTTGATTTCTAAAGTAATGTCAGAAGCAGTCAAAAGGTAGAATGAACAAGGAGGTGTACAAGCAGAAAATATTGGTAAAATGCCCTATTTTAAATTTCTGAATTAGAAAGCATCTTGCATTTTAGAGGAGAGGAAACAGGAAATCAGGTGTTTAGGAGTCAGTTGACTGTGTCACTGCAGCAACAGTTGTGTTGTGTTGTGAAGGGCCCGAGATCCCCCTGCTTACCATTAGGGAAGGTTGGAACAACTCGTCTCATTAAGTTAAGCTTCTTCCCTTGAGTGTCTTATTTAGCTTTACTTCTCTTAATTCTTTCCCTGGTGATTTGGGTAAAGTGGAACCACGAAAGGTAAAAGGTTGAAGCAATCCCAAATTTAATAATCTATCACCTTTCTTTAGTGTATTTGAGTGTAATTCCCAGCAGTTCTTAGCAAATTCATTAGAAGACAGCAAGTCATTAAAAGTTAATAAGAAACTCTTTGTTTCTGTGAATGTGAATAAAACCACTTTGTAAGTCTGACATTCTTTTCCAATCATAAAAGCCTTGCTTTTCGCCAGTTTCTACTTTCTCCATCTCTCTAGGTTACTCCTGGATGGGGCACCGCTGGTTGCAATCCACAAAGCCAGGTATTACAAGAGGAAAGATGGCTTAGCCCTGGGGCCTGGACCGTTTGTGACTGCTTTGGAGTACGCCACTGATACCAAAGCCACAGTAGTTGGAAAACCAGAGGAAACATTCTTTTTGGAGGCACTGCGGGGCACTGGCTGTGCACCTGAGGAGGCTGTCATGATAGGAGACGTAAGTAGAAGAGCCCCGGACATGCCCTGAGCTCACCTGTCATGCTGGGAAGAGCCAACTTCAAAGCCCCTCTTTGAAACACCAGCAGACTGTGCTGCTGGTGATGGCAGATGGCAGTAAGTGGCTGCCTGTAAAACAGGCTTTCCAGTAGATGTTTAGTGGTATTCTTCTAAAGAACTGAAATTTTGATTATTTCTGACATTCTCCATAGTGTGATGTGACACATGTAATTCAACATATCATTAAATGCAAGTCAAGTAAATACTTTATATATCTTTTTAAAGAAACTTTTACAGAAATTTAGATTTTTCAAATATTACTTATGTGGGGAACAACCTATACCTAAAGAGTTCTACCATTGATTTTTTTTCTCAGTATAGGCTGTGTGGAAGAACTTCCCAATCAGTGTGCCACAAATAGCTTAAAGATATCGATTGCCTCAGCCCTTTGAGTGGCAGGTCTGAACCTGGATGGCTGGAGGCCCATAGCTGGTGACCTCTGGCCATGAGCACCTTGTCAGATTACCCCGGTGCATGGGGGAGATATTTTCTATGTGTGCCATGGGGGAGGAAGAGCTAGAAAGCCTACTGCCTTGTGGTAAGCAGGCAGCAAGGATTATATTTCAATTTTAAATAATAATGTGTTAGGCTGGAAGGGACCATCAAGACTATCGGGCCTAAATCTCCTCATTTTATGACTGGAAAACTGAAGCCTGGAGAGGTAAATCTCTTTGCCTAAATTCTCGTAACTAATTAATGGCATAGCCGGAAGTAGAACTTGAGGCTCTGGACTTCCTCCAAGACAAACTGTAGATCCCTTGCTTTCTTAACTTGTGGTGGTGCAGATGTACCATGGTCCTCCCGATATCCTCTTCCACTTCTCTATATATTTGTTCACCTTACACTGAGTGGGAGAATCATTGAACTGAATACTGTTCTGAGAAATCATCTTTTCACTCACCTTTATTCTTCTTGGCAAGCCTTCAGCTGACTTTGCTAGGCAAGTGTGTGTTTGAAGAAGTGGTCATCTGGGCCTGGAGACCCACAGTGCTTTGTCCAGGGAGAATCTGGTTTGGGGATGGGCTGGGAGGTGGGGCGGGCATGTGACAGTAGCTCTGGGATCAGAGAGTGGCAGTTTTTCCCCTCCCTTTCCTTGACCACTTTTCCCAGACCTCCCGTCTTCCTTCTCCTCCTCTCCTCCACCTTCACTGCTTCAAAAGGGCAAGTTGAGATGCAACAGAAAAGGTTTTAAGTTAGACTTTGAATGAAGATTTTGACATTCTAAAACTCATTTCCAAGGATGGTTACCAAATAGTATTAATGATTTTAACAGGAAAAAAAAATAGTACTTTCTTCAGGCATGGTCTGAATGAATCCTGCTAATAGACATGACCTAGCAGGATTGATTTGCTTCATGTTTCTTCCAGTCCTTGGATTTTATTACCTTGAATTTATCATTACAGCCAACCAAGTATATTCATCCCCATCTTGAGTAAGAATTGGAAAGAGGACCTCCTTTCTTTTTTATCCTCACCAGAGGACATTTTTTTCATTGCTTTCAGAGAGAGAGGAAGTGGGTGGGGGGTAGGGAAAAAGAGGGTGAGAAAGGGAAAGGTGGCGGGGGGGGATAGAGAGAAACATCGACATGAGAGAGGAACATGGCTCGGTTGCCTCCTGTATGTGCTCCGGCTGGGGTTTGGGGATCAAACCCTCGACCTTTTGGGTTGTGAGACAGTGCTCCAACCTACTGAGCAACCTGGCCAGGACAAGGACCTCCTTTTCTTACTACTCTGTTATTCCCACGTGCAAAATGAATGTCAGACAGTCCCACAAACTGGGTAAGCATGCTGATATGACTTGATTGCACCTGTTGGGGACTGTCGGCTAGAAAGTAAGGATAATGTATTATATGGGCAGCAGAAAAGCCATCTTCTGAATCTAGTTCATTCACTGTGTGTAGCTGGGTCATTCACCTTAAAACCTGCCAAGTGGATAGAATGCTTTTTTCCATAACCTGTTTTAAGAGGAGATCGACAGACATGTGGCAAAACTTGAAGAACCGGGACTGCTCTTTGTGTTTGGTTACTAGAATTACTACTCTTGTATGTCTTCCACTGCTGTAACACTTTCCAAATGGTATGCTTCCTCAGGCTATCATGTGTTGATTTATTTGTTTTTACATCTTCCTGTCTTTCATTTTAAGGTAAAACCATGAGGCCCTGATTGGGTGGCTCAGTTGGTTGGAGTGTCATCCCGTGCACTGAAAGGTTGGGAGTTCGATCGTGGTCAGGACACATGCCTAGGTTATGGGTTTAGTCCCTGGTCAGGGCATGTATGGGAGGCAACTGGTCAATGTTTCTCTCTCCTCTTTCCTCTCTCTCTCTAAAATCAATAAACATATCCTTGGGTGAAGATTAAAAAATAAAAAAGTATCTCTTAAAAAGAAAAAAGGTAAAACCATGGAATTACAGTTGGCCATCCAACCTAGTAAGTCAAATCAATTGTAGGGTTTCATTGTTAAGTTAATTGAAGACCTTATACTAAATGCCTTCTTTATGCTTTTCTAGGATTGCAGGGATGACGTTGGAGGGGCTCAGAATGTCGGCATGCTGGGCATCTTAGTAAAAACTGGTATGTATCTTCTGTGTAAGCCTTTTTCTGAAACAGGATGGTAGCATACACAAATGCTTAAAGAAAAGTTTTTTCAGAAATGGCAAAGCCCACTGGGCACTTTAATTCTTTTTCTGCCACAAAGCAAAAATAAAATGATCCGTGTATTACAGGGGAAAAATACAATGGGAGGACCCGTGCTGTACAATACCAGGAAGATGAGAGTTCAGAGGTATTTTCATACTTCGCCAGAGATAACCATACACAGTTGACAATTAACATTTATATGATTTTCTAGATACACAAATACTACATCGGAATGAACCAAAGCCTATTGATTGTGGTGCTCTCTAAAAATATTTTTCCTTTTTGTGCCAGCTATAAGATGAAGTTGATCTCATTAGGAACTAACTGGCTAAGTGATCTGATGCTTTGTGTTAATGTTTGTACTTTTTATTTGTATTTATTTGTTTTCAATATAATTTTTATTTATTTTTTCTTTTTTAATGGAATTTATTGGGGTGACATTGGTTATAAAATTATATAGGTTTCAGGTGTACAATTCTATAATACCTTATCAATATAATATATCAATTACATGGTTTGAGGTGAACCACTGGAGACGTTCAACTGACACCATTCACTCTAGACTTAATGGGGTTTTTTTTCAGATTTCTCTGTCTAAATGATCTCCCCATTCCCAGGAACATTACTGCCCTTGCAAAAAAGAGGAAGTTTCAGAAAAAGTCAAGAAAAATAGCCACACTGATTATTCTCCCCTATATCTTAATTTTTCAATTCTTGCCATTTACCATTTTATTTTCTGCTCATTAAAGAAGTCCTCAGATAACTATTTTTTTTCTTGTTTATTATCCCCGTGAACATTTCCTTTCTTTGGCTTACATAACTGAGGGTTTACACTAAGCATCAGAGCTGGTCCTGTGCCAGTGTCTGTAGGCCCAGTTCCCCCAGCTGGTCTGCATTGGCCCTACCCTCTTTTCTGACTGGCGCTTGGTTGTAATCAGCGTATCACAGAGGCATCCAGGTAGTCTTAAAAGTGCCAGCAGCATAGCACAATCGAATCTAAAGTGGGTAACTGGTAGAGCTGCTAAGTCCAGCTCATTAAAACAGTCCCATTTGAACTATTCATCTCTGGTCCAAAAAAATCCTGAGTAAGCCCAGTATCTGAAAGCATGCAGGATAGCCAACTTCACTGGTAAATTTGAACTCAGGGCATTTGAACAAGTATTACATTTCCCAGTGTTGAGAATTATCATAAAGAATTTTAACTTATTCAGTAACGAGTGCTTTTGTGTTTAGTCTTGAGCAATTTTTAAAAAGATTTTACTTACTTTTAGAGAGAGATGAGGGAAGGGAGAAAGGGAAGGAAACATTAATGTGAGAGAAAAACATCAATAGGTTGCCTCTCGTACACGCCCCAACCAGGAACTGAACCTGCAATCCAGGCATGGGTCCCTGACCAGGATCTGAACCAGTGATCTTTCACTTTGCAGTCTGACACCCAACCAACTGAGCTGTGCTGGTCAAGCAATTTTGTTTCCTAATGAGTAGCATATCCTAGATGCTCAGTATGTAATTGCTCGATGATTTGTTAATAAAGATTTTTGACTCATCCTAACTAGAATTTCTGTTGACCATGTAAAAAATTTACCTAGAAAAATTGGGATTACTCTTTCTCTAATATCATAAACACGACCCCATGTTTCTCCCTTCGTTCATCATTTATCCATCCAGGAAAGCACAGACTGCCACAGTGAGTAAGTCAGGCTTGGGTGACGGTGGTCCACTTCATTCACTCAGCCACTGTTACTGAGTATGGGCTGTATGCCAAACACAATGCGAGGTGCTAGGACTATCACACATATATGAGCCACTGTGTCAATTTGTACTTTGTAGAAATCCCACTTGCTGGCCCAGAGTATGCAAAAGCATTCTGCAGGCCCTTATCAATATGGCTAAGAAACTTGACTTTCACACATTTGCCCTTAGATCACTGGATGCAGGGATTATGTGATAGAGCAATAGTTAGTGATCAAATTACCTATGAGACTAAATAGAAACCTTGCAAAGGAATTAATGTGTCAAGGGATTTAAGTTTGGGGTGGGGAACAAAAAACCAGCAGCAGTTTGCTGTGTGGTCCATACGGTGGACAGGTGCCTTGAGGATGCTAAGGTAAGTGAGGTATATGTTCATTACCCTTGTACATTTCATGCTGGCTCCTTTCCTGTAGGAATTCACAATCCGTAGGGCAAGAAGCATCTTCACCACAATGCAAAGTTGTGGAACAGAGGGTTTTCAGGCTTTGTGTTTGCTGGGCAAAGCCTCTTAAAGAAAGAAGTAGTTGTAGAAAATGGAAGAAATTACAGAAAATGGTGGGTCTGTTGTTGGGGGAGCTGCATTTAAGCAGAGAATACTGGAAAACACAAAAAAGTAAATAGCAGAGCCACAGAAAAAGGGATTAGAGAGCAAGGAGAAGGGGCAAGTCCAGAGGCAGCTGGAATGGCACCGTTGGTCTCTTCCTCACGGCCTGGCTGAAGCAGTGGTTTGCAGTCCTTTCCTCCCTTCTTTCTTTTCCTCCATTCTTCAAAAAACAAAGAAACTGTGGAATGTGCACAGTATGCTAGTCATTACGTCAGGTGCTGGGGGTACATTGGGGACTATAACAGGCTTAGTCCGCAGTTATATAACAGGCCCCTCTCAGAGAACTTAATAGTCTTAGGTGGGAGATGGACATTAAACAAACAAAAAATATATATAGAAAATAAGAAATTGTTATTAATATTGTGGAGGCAAAAAAAAAAAGAAACAGGTGTCCTAAGAGACAATAACAGGGAGGGGACCTAATTTGGGTGGGAACATGGAGTCTGACCTGAAGTGAGGGGGTGGTAGTCAGGCGAGAAGAATGTACCAGGCAGAGGGGAACATCAGGTCCTCCCAAGAGCCCGGTCCAGCCTAAGACTGCAGCCTCGTGAAAGGCACACGTGCTAAAGCTACAGAGCGCTGGGGCCTGCTAGGCAACGATAGGGACTTGAGGTCCTTCTGAAAGGTATGGGGACCCATGAAGGGTGTTTAAAGAGAGACCATGTGTCATCTGATTCACATTTGTAAAAGCTCTCTGTGGCGGCTGTGTGGAATGGTTCCTCTGTTGTGTTGGTAAGTTTAGTTGTAGGTCTTGAAATCCAGAGTCTGGGGAAACTTAGGTGGTGTCCTGCCCCGTGGTGCCCTGCGGTACATGCGGCATGTCCTGCCTGGCCCAGGTCTGTGAGTATCCATCACTCTGTCCCTCCCCAAGCCAGGTGCTCTCATTGGCTGTGCTAACAGGGTTCCTGCTCAGCAGCAGTTAGGTACCCTCGGGAGCTGACAAGGCCTCTGCCCCGTGGGGTCAGAGCTTCCATTTAAAAGCATTGATTTACTCACCATTTCTATCTTTAGGGCCAGTGGGGGTAGAAAATGATTTCATCCGCTGTGGAGATCTGAAGGCACCCTTAGCTGTTAGGTGACCCAATACCTCTGATCATCCATTTTGAAAGGCTGGAGGACTGGGGAATCCTGAAAGTGACATTTCTTGAATTTCCTCATTGCATCCTGAAGCCTCAATAAAAGATGCTTTGAGAGACATGGAGCCCCTGATTCTCTAGTAATTCTAGGGGCGGTTCAATGGTAGCCTAGGTGTCCACGGGGTGCGGTCACTGTGGCATTCCAGCAGTAGCCTTTGTTCACTTGCTTTACTCTCATTTCAGGTAAATACCGAGCAGCAGATGAAGAAAAAATTAACCCACCTCCTTACTTAACTTGTGAGAGTTTCCCTCATGCTGTGGACCACATTCTGCAGCATCTACTCTGAATCATTACATGAATACGAAGCAACTTGAAACTCAGCTTTTCATCGCCGGGAATGAATCCCTCACCAACTCAATGGCAGCATAGGCAGACACACCCCTCAGCACTGACATGGTGCAACCCTCTTTCATTGTGCATTAATTAGAAAGAAAGGTATTGAATTACAGCCAGCCACTAAGCCCTGCTTATCTCTTTTGTTTTATTTTGTAAAAGAAGATGAGACCCAAAGAAATGGAAAGCTGGGATTTTATGCCATTCTTTTTAAAATATTCATCAAATCAGCAGGGCTAGGAGGGAGAACCTACTGCAGGGAGTCCTGTTCTTTGCGGTCTCCCCACTGGTAAATTGGGAGGGTGGGTTCAGACTGTGAATAAAGTTGAAAGGTGCACTAGGCTGTAGTTTTAATATTGAGTTCAGCTGTGAAACCCTTCAGACGTGCCAAGTAGAGTACATGTCAGAAGCAGCAAAATAAATTGTCCTTTAGCCCCAGTGATTGAGTGAATTTGCTTTAACGGATGTTGAAAACTAGATTATGTGCTGTACTATTCCCAGCACGGATGACTTCTTTTTCTCTTCATTAGCCAGAGATGACTAATTTAAATTTAGAACCTGATTTTAATTTAAAATAATATTTCCATTAATAACCTATTCATTGCAGATACCTATTATACTGTGTAACAGTTGTTTTGGAAATTTTATGTAAAATTAAAACTATCAGTATTTTACAGATGTTTTAATTAGACATTGTTATTAACAGGAACAGTGCAGAAACTAAAATCAAGCCTTTAATGTCTTACAGACCATGCATTTTTGAAGTTAGTGTCCACCAGGGTCCTATTAACTGTACATTTGCAAGATTTCATTATTTTTGCCTCTGACACTATGGGAAAAATCTTTTAGAAGCTATTGGGACAGATTCAGGCTTTTATGTACTTGGTTACTACAGCTGTAAAATGAAATCTCGTCTGGTAACATGGATTATTCTTATGTTAAACCCACCAAAATGAAGGGGACTAAGTAGGTAATGATTTTCCTAGTGCATTTGCATACTGTGATAATCCTGGGCCTTTGCAATTGTTTTACAGGACTCTTGGGCATTGAATTATTAGCATGTAATTGTACATCATTGTAGTGTTCACCTTATTGAAGCACACACTAATGTTAATGAGCTTCGGGTTTTGATGCTTGTTTAGAGATCAGCTTGGTCTTAGATGGGAGGGAGCAAAGCTAAATAAATGGCAGCTCCTCTCCTTTTGGTGGTTTGGTGAACACTCTGTTCTTGTTTTTGCAGATGCACCAACTTGGTCCTTAAACACCGTAGAGAGCAAAAGATAAGATGTGACAGGACCACCACCCCAGATCGGAAGATGAGTGGAGTGGCAGAAAGCATAAAGTTAGGCTGGGGGCCTAACCAGCACATACTAGCTCTGTGACCCTGGTCAAGTCAGCCTCTCATGCCTCCTTTCCTTATATGTAAAATGGAGATAATGATTGTGTCCACTACATGGGCTTATTGTGACGTTGAATGCATGATTCATACAGTAAGTACTTAGAATAGAATCAGGCAATGCCAGTTATTCATTGTGGTGGAGATGTAGCAGGAATATCCATGTTTAACAATCTGGAAAGGATTGGTAGAATTCATCTCTGTATGTTCAATGAGGAGAGTCTTCCTAAGGGTTAGAGAGAGAGAGAGAGAGAGAAATTATGCTACATTGAAACCCCCTGAGAGCGAAGCCGCACAGAGAGAAAGCTTAGCATTCAGGTAGCGAGTGCTGGTTGGTGCCTGGTGGATGGGCCATGTTTAACGTTGGCCTGTTAGCTGGGCACCTGCATCAGTGATCCTTTGTTTGCTAGTTGCTCCGTGCTACGTGCCAGGCTAGAACACAGGCGTGCAGGAAAAGGATTTAGCCTTGAGGAGTCTTACTGGTTGAGGAACTGAGGAGAGCACACAAGACATGATGAATACTCCATCCTTCCTCTGCGATGTCACCCTGGCGCAGGATGGAATAAGGTGTTCCCTCCTTCGAGCCCGTGTGGCGCTTGTTAGATTATATTTAAGGCTTCACGCATCTCTTTTCCCCACCAGACAGGACTGTTGTCTCATTTTTAAAAATATCTGCTACAACACAGATAGGCACTCAGATGGTTACTGAACCAATAAAAAGCTAGCTGTAAATATTACAGGAATGTAATGCTAGAAGGTACAACATTGGGGAGGGAGGAGAAAATAAGATTCATTTAGACTTGTTGCCATAGGGGGAGCCCCCTTACACACTTGGAAATAATGGAACTGATGCTCTGGAGACAGGTTAGTGCTAAAGCAAAGATGTAGGCATCACTGATGGTCAGGAATTAAACAGAGTGACAGGAATGGGTGAGATCACTTGAGCATAACGCATCCAGCCAGAAAAATGGCTTCTCTACTTTCCTCTATTCTGGTTTGGCCCCATGGGCCATTAAAATCTCAGTTTGATATTTTATTGATTTAACAGGCATTATATAGGGCTTGCTAACCACCTGTCCACAATAAGGTTCATGAGGATAAATAAATCTTGGTTTAGTTCCAGGTTAATATAAATATACCCAGCTTAGCTGGGTGGTCTGCCTTGGAACTTATGGAGGAGATTTGAAAACTAAATTATCTAAAGGACTTCATTTTCCATCCCTCCCATTTAAAGGGCTATCTCGTAGTACTAACCTTAAGGACAGTATTTGCATCAGGTTTACTGTAATTCTGTCCTAGCATGAGAAAAGGGACCAGGTGGCACAGTAGGACCAGAGAGGGCATTAGAGAACACCCGTTGTCAGGAGACGGTCATGGAGGATCTGCCGCGAGCTAGGCGCTTGCTAGGTGTGGGGGACAAAGCACCAGCCCGGCGGAGGAGACACATGGTGGTTGCACCCACTGCACTCATGCCTCCGTGAGCAGCTGGTTTTGCAGTAGCTTCGCCTTCCTATCTACCACCCTACATCTGTCAGAACTGATTGTAAAATGTAGGAAAAGAAAGGGAGCTCACCCTAAGTGACAGTTCCATCAAATACCTGTAGTTGGGAGCTGTCAGAAATTCCCTTGGCACCTCACCCTTTATTTCACACTTGAATATTGCAGTAGTGTGTTGGACAAGTAAGTCAAACACAGAACTGTGGTCAGTTGGTTCAGTTCGTCGTTCCTGTAATATGAAACCGGGAAACTTTGGGTATCTGTAATGAAGAGTTTTAAAAATTGCTCTAATCTGTTTCACTAAAAACTGCCTCAAGCAGTAGAATCCCTTTTTCATATGCAGTTGTTTGCACAGCCATGTTTGCATTATCGGGTCTCTTTGACATAAATCACAAAAGTCTTTTTCAGCACAAATGCACAGGCTTTTGCTGATTTTGTAGTGTGCCAGCCATCAAAGCCTCTACCCCAAAGCATGCTGCTCTCTAAGAGGCAACCAGAGCAAGGTGCCTGAGCACCAGAAATGATCATAATTTCAACTGCATATCTGTTAAAGGCAAACAATTTTGAATACCTTACTTTTTTCAGTGATTACCTTCATGTCATACACAACACCCATTTATTTCACTGGCTGATGTGCCTGAGATCAGACTATTTATTAGATGCTCACTGTGGGTAAAGCACTAAGGAAGGGAGAGCAGAATGGAGCTCCAGGTCCTTAGATATATATCTTCTAGTTGGTAAATTGATGCATATAAAAATAAATCTAACAGTTCACAGGGCGCTGACAAGTTCAAGACAGTTTTGTAAGTCCTTGCAGAAAAGAAGTATGTGCAATGAGCTAAGTGCTTTGGCCCATGCCATTTTAAAGAATGTTTCATTCATTCAATAGCAATGAAAAAAGTATCACAACCATGGTGTTAACATTTGAGTAGGGTATACAGATGAAACATACAACTTACTATGACAGAGATATTTATAAGTGATGAAGATGAATAAAACCAGTAAGAGTGAGGAGGTTATTTTAGATGAGATGAAGTGTGGGAACAAGCCAGAATTTTAGAGGCAGATAGTTAATCTTATTGCCAACATCCGACTCAGGTATTTCAAGTGCAGATCAAGTGCTGGTTTTCCTAGGAAGAGCAGAAGATCTGGCAATGTTAGGTCCAAATTTTTACGTTCAGCTGGAGCTAAGTCACGGTTGGCGTCATTCCAATAGTTTTGGCTCTCTCCATTGCCCCACACCCGACTCTTCCTTGCCTTACACCCAGCTTGCTTTACTCATGTGTTACTACATTCCAGGTTCCTAAAAGAATTTGAGTTGTGACCTCTGTTTTAGAAGAAAATGTCACATGTTGGATTAGGTTAAATATTCCTCCAGTAACTAAAAGGCCAATCTATACACTGTAAACTTAGACAAGCTTTTAATCTACTTAAAAAAAACAAAACATAGAGACTCTAAACATAGTAGATTAATCATATATGTTAGTTTTCTCTTTCTCAAAGCCCCACTAAAATAAGAGGAAAGGAATAAGGAAAGTATAAATCCACAAAGACAGGCCACAAGAGAATGGTAGAGGAGACATCCATGGGGGAGAGGGTACAATAGTTTGGAAGATGGTAAGTGGATAGAGTCTTGATAATTAAAATCAGTGCAAAGACAAGACTCAAAATTCATCCTAAAGAACTACCTCAAAGACTCAAGGTTGGAGACACTAGGTAGTGAGGAAGTGAGGGGTGAGGCAGGAAGTCGAGAAGCAAGGAATTGGTTCAAAGTGGGCAAACAATATGATTGGAGCCCCAGACCCTCCTACCCTGAGCAGCCAGATCACCTCCAGCCTAGACAGGAGAATGGAGATTTCTTTTCTGAAAAAGTAAAACCATGAAAGTTAAGGTCTTGGGGACAGAGGGCATGGTCGTGGGCCAGGGGAGATGATGCAGGGCTGAGCATGGGAATTAGGGACACGTGTCCTTACACCAAGTGGTCCTCAGTTCCCTTCCCCCTAAAACACCAGCACCACAGAGCATGGGGATGGAACTGAAAATGTATCTGATATTTGGCCATACGGAAAATAATACTGATGGATATCTGACAGATCTGAGGATGTGTTGCAAAAAAAAAAAAAAAAAAAAAAACTTAGAAAACTGAGCAAATGAAAAAAGTGGAGAGGCAGTTATTAATTCAGGGAAAGACATAGCTCCCCAGAAAAGCAAATGTAACCCTGACTCACTAGTTGGCTCTGCAACGAACAATGTATAGTTCTCATAGAAATATAGATTACAGAGTTCACCTAAAATCATAGTGTAACGATGGGGGAGGATGGGGAAAGACATGTTTGTGTGGTGGGGACAGGGCAGAGGGATGAAGAGCTGCATTTTATTTCATCTAAAGCAAGAAATTTTCATATATAAGACTGATTTGTAAAAAGCCACTGAAATAAAGCACGACCTAAAAATATAGCATGACATGCATAATTATTTGGAGACAGACTTCGCAAGGGAAAGATGAGAGAAGGATTGAATCTGTGACTGAAAGAAGGTGGAAGTATTACAAAGATGAACTTGGAGATTTCTAAAAGGAATGGAGGAAGGAAGTGGAGATATGTTAAATACACAGCAGACTGGGGGGGTGGGTTTGAAAGTGGAAGATTGCATGTACTTACTGTGAGGGATGGCAAAACTACTCAACCCTGAGTGGAGTCAGGAACGGGCAATAAGCTAAAGGGGCCCAAATGTAGTGTTACAAAGGATGTTGGCCACAAGAATGTCTCCTGCCCCCTTTCCCTGTCCACTGGTAACTACACATGAAGTGCAAACTCACTTCCCAAGCACAGAGAATGAACAACGGTGGAGGTTCTGTCTAATTGGGATTTCATAACATCAGAAAGGATGGTAGCAGCCACAAGTAAATGGACTAACAGCTACAGGAAATGTCAGCTGGCAGCCTGACCAAGAAAATAACCCAAAAGCACAGAAAGCAGATGTTGGAAATTGAACAGTACAGCAGTCTGTGGTCATTTAGTTTTGAGACCTATTCATTTAGCTGTCTCTAGCACAGCATAGTGTAATACCTAATGATCACAAAGTTTTCTAGCATATCCTAAGATAAAATATCTTTGTTGATTTCAAATTTGTTATCAAGATATATTTTAAATTTGACTACATTTTTCCATGATTGCATTTTAAAGGGCATTTGAGAATATTTTGCTCAAAATAATACATCCCAAATGCTTTGTTTTTATTTAAAAAGTTAAAGACCTTTAGAATATTTAGCTATCGAAAATGCCCCATTTCCTAGAGGTTTTTCTTTGGAAGAGGAGCCTGTCTTGTAAAGATGAAGAACACAAAGCAAAGAAGGGAAAAGAAAGTGACCTACTGTAGATAAGTTCTAGTTGGGAACAGGGATGGCAT